TATTTATGCAAAATCTTCATAGAATTATTATTTTAAAAACCTTCATGAATGCATCACTTGAATTATATTATATTTAATATAATTCTTGACTTGTTCAATATTTTTTTTCAAATATTTTATCTTTGAAACTTGATTTTACTTTGTTTTGTCCTCCTATTTTATTCAATGAGAAACCTATCACATTCTTATATATCACAATAAAAAATCATCCCAGGTTCATCTAAATTTCATTTACCCAAATGGCATATATTGTTGCTAATACATATTGAATCTCAAAATAGAAAAAATGAAGGTTTGAAATATTCATTCATTATAACTTATAAAGTTTGATATGTGACAAATTTTGTGTAAAATCTTCTCTTCGCTTAAGGCCTTTCTTTCCGAACAGTGTTGGGAAAATCGGAAGTTATACTATTTTTTATGATAGTATAATCTGGGCACTCCATGAGTGCAATTTGATATAGCGCCTTGGAGTCGTAGGTACTTGACTTCTTTGTGTCGTGTTCCTTTCTTCCGGCTTGGTTTCTTCATTCCTCCGAATCATTCTGTGATATTTATGGATACTTACGCCTCTCGATGTAATATGATAAGAATTTGTACATTCTGGGATAGATTAAAAACTATGAACCATTTATTTTATACCAAAACACACTTTCTCAGAATAAAATGTTTGTACAGAGTACACATGTAGTCATTTCTTGCATATTCTGGAGCAATTGTCAGTCTAGAGACATGCGAGTAGATAGTACAGATCATCGATTATGTGTTATGGTGTAATTAAGATTCTACCCGATATCAAGATACATGTAATATTGTACGATGTTTATGGGTGCTTCTTTCTTATCTCCTCCTGCAATCAAAGTGAAGTACACTGCTACCATACTTCCAATTTTCTGAAATAAGAGCATGGCCCATCCCATATATATTCCCTGCTGGAGCGTCAGGTTTTGGACTTTAGATCACATTTTCTCTATACCACTTTGAGTTTTCTTCCCTCTCATTTTCCTCCATTTTGATTGGAACTAAATTCCCTCTCCTTCCTTTGGTCATAGAGAGTAAGCCCCGGTAGAAATAAAGTAGATATGCATGTACCTATGCGAACTTCACCAACTGGAGAAATTTATGCAATCTGTTAAGAAAGGGTGCACTGGGTTTAGACATCAATCTCTTTCGCCAAAATAGTGCACAGGAGCAAGACGAAACAGAGGATCTCGATTGTCCGAGATTCGTGCGAAGAGTCAAGAAATAGAGCCCAATTTTATCAATATGCTTCACAATGGCTGAGGTAGACAAGAAATAAACCCAATGCTCCAAATATTCAGAAGATTTCTGTAGGTTTTCCGCAATTATTTATATGCTTTGCTTGACGTACACAGTACAAGCTTCATCGCCACAGTCCAGATTCCGGAACCTTTTATCCTCTACATGGAAGTCATTCATCACTCACGCAAGGGGGTTGACGTTTTCATTATGCTACTCATTATGCTCTCGACGTCAACGGAACACACACAATCTTCCTTCTCACTCATGCTTTACGTTAGTGCACGGTTGCGAAGGTCGCTTGGAGTCGGAACCATATGGAAAGCCCAGCTTCACGAATCTCGATTCGGTCCTGATCTTCTGGTCAGATTCTGGCGCGATGAACTTGAACATTTGGCCAGCGACACAACAATTGAGTATCAATCATTCACCACCCACAAGTCTCTTTGACTAATTGTGTAAATTACAAGACTATTCTCAAAATCAATGGAAGCATGGCTCCGATGATGCTTCTGAACAATGACATTTGACATTTGGTCAAGTAATCAGTTTTCCAGGCGTACTTATATAGACAAATGGGTTCTTCGATCTAAGATGTCGAGAGTCAGTTGGCCCACGGACGTATGAGCAATTGATTCATGCAGAATCATCTTATGAGCAGAAGTCTTATCTTGCGAAATGAAGTCCTTCACGAATTTCTTTTTCAACGCATAAAGACTTTAGAAGAAGAATTTTATACTTGGCATTGTTGAACAATTTCCAGGCACGCCTGATCGTTATTAGTGAAGTGAATAATCATCACGACAAGTGACAGTGCCATTACTGTTCACAAGTATCACCTAAACAAATGTATTATGAGTACATTCCATGAAATCTGTTAAGTCTACACTGACCACACTGAATAAATTAAGATTAAGGATGGGAATGTCCCATAAGTCCCTCCGTAAACGAAACCAAAAGTTTAAAATCGAGCTTGATCATGGTAGCATCCTTATGATAAATATGTCTTATTTCAGTTCATATATCTCAACTATCTACAACAAAAATTCATCATATGACCCAATAGCTTTATATGGAGTCAAAATAGTATGATAACATCAAGTGCACCAAATTTATTCCAAGATTTTAAATTTTACTACAAATAGACTTTCTCATTAACTTCTTATGCTTAAATGAACTTTGGATACGCAGATATGTTTACATGAGATTCTAGAACAATTTAAAATATATCAAAAAAATTGCGATGAATCGATTATTTAAGGTCCATACCGGTGGTTACTGGGAGTTCTTTTGCTCATCACACTACAATAACCTGTGAAATATAGACAAAAATGGACTGTTCAAACTTTACATGTCACGAGCTTTATATGCTTGAACTTGAGACCTACTGGCGTGGCGAGGAGTAAAGTTCAGGGAGGCCAAAGAGACTACTCTGCACCGAGACGTCCACATGTAATCACAGCGAAACAGTTTACATGAGACAAAACTTTGTGTATTGGGTGCAAATCATCGCAAAGAGATATCTTAGAATCTATAAGACGTAAACAGTTCTTAAGACTATATTTTTTAATTAATATCTTAGAAAGGAATAGAAGGGTACAAAAGATTAATATTAATGTGAAAAAGAAAGCCTTAGTATTGAATACATCTGATGGTATCGAGTCAGGTACAAGAAATTCAAGGTCATGATGGTCATTTTGACATCTTCTAATTTCATTCATTTTTCTCTTTTGGGTTATGTCCACCGACAAAACATAATGTATTAGTTTTATAATTGATGTGTATGATACAAAATAATATGGTCACGCTAGACTTCAACATAGTCGAATAGTCGAATCCAACACCAACCCCAATACGGAAAGTTTTGAAAATAAAAATGGAAAAGAACTCTGCATTGGCTTCATTGTACAGCGTACTAGAAATTTGCTATGAACTACAGTACCACCTTTGCGTGCCGAGCTACTTCGTGGAGACTTTAGGGTGAGAATCTACGGCAGCCTTCATAAAATCTGGCACATGTTTTGTCCTAATTCTGTCATAACAATTTTTCCTTATATTTTTATTTACCATATAACTTCTTAAGTAATTATATTGATCAAAACATCGTATGATATATATATTTCTCAATGAGGTCATTAGTTGCAAATTTTACTAGTCACTCAATCAGCACATAAATCCAGAGCGAAAGCTTAAAGTACGAAATGTCCTGTCGAATCAACGATTTTAATGAGATAAAACCATCACAACAGAATTCTGCCATGCACCGAAGAAGATATTTTGCACCACATGCGTCTCACCCTTTTTACCTCGTTCATGTGCCCGCCCCTTTGTCGTGCGATTCAATATCACCTTACATCATACATCTCTGACATGCTCTAGTCATAATTCACACATACATAAGGACGAGAGTGTCCACACACAAATGTATCACAACTAAAATAAGTGTCGAAACACAAAATGTACAAAGAGTCTAGCCAAACTCACTACTCGCAGGTAGAATCAGAGTCGAAGCTAAGGGGAAAACCCCGACGCGAAAGGCTCAACTCCAAGAACTGACAATTCTTCGAGCTTAACTCAAATATATCACTTCAACGTGTTGACTCCATCCAACGCTCCTCGACCGTCTGCTGCGGCCCAACGTTAGCCGACTCCCAACATTCCCCGACTTCAACTCGAACTCGACGTGTCTCAACTCAAATCGACCCTACGTCTCAAGCCATGACAGCTTTAATGGCGGAATGACTTTGCACATACATCGACACTCTGGAAGATGTTCCGAAATTGAGTCCAGTGACGTTTCCTTTGTCCCGTGACGTTTTGACACGTTTTTCCCGAAAACGTGTCCCAGTGACGTTTCCCATGCTTCTGAGAGCGCGGCGAGCGTGATCTATCAAGAGATTTGGACCTCCAGGATGCAATGGAATGGATGGACAGGAAGGGGAGGAAAATGAAAGCTGTGAAAGACAATTGTTAGAAGTGAGCACATCTTTGTGTTAAGTTTGGCTTGTTTGAAGCAAGGACTTAGAATTTTTGATGTCTTTTGTACTTTTGCACATCATCTTGTGATACAAATGAAGGATTGAAGAATTTTAGAATAGGATTCAATACTAAAATTTGAAATATTATGATTCAAGATTGATGTACAAAAAAAATTCACAATTATTTCTGAAGCATTATTTTGATCAGATAATCTATTTCAGAGTTGTGTAAAAATTTGTGGTCCAATTCAATAAGCTGAAGTTTATAAGACGAAAGGAAAAGTCATAGAGTACAAATTACATAAAAATTCTCAAAGAGTATTATACAAGAACAAAATATGATAACTTCAAAGTATTCTGTATATCTGGATTTAGAAATGCCTGCATGGACTATCCCCACATGAAGTTGCTCTTCTCACTTTATGTACGCAATTTGAACGTGCGCAAAACTGGAAGTCTGCACATGCCTACAAAAAATACCGCAACACATGCCTACAAAAAACATTTCTTAGAAGAGGTAACTTCAACCTGATAACTTCAAAGTATTCTGTATATCTGGATTTAGAAATGCCTGCATGGACTATTCCCACATGAAGTTGCTCTTCTCACTTTATGTACGCAATTTGAACGTGCGCAAAACTGTAAGTCTGCACATGCTGACAAAAAACATTTCTTAGAAGAGGTACGATAATTATTATAGAGCAGGAGATATCTATCCCCGTGCTATATAAAATTTCTGCTAGAACTCTACTACGCGGCCATATGAATTCTGTTCAGAGGAGAGGCAGCGATCAATGTCGAGCATGGCGAGCTGTGGTGCCGGGAACGAGGAGGTCGTCTTCGGAGACAAGTTCCGCAACAGATGCTCGAAGTTCCTGGAAGACATGTGCTTCAAGAACACCAAAGAATGTGCAAGTCATGAACTGTTGGATCAGATTTACGACGCTGTGTGCAGCCTGCGAAAAATGCAATCAGCAAGCGTCGATGTGATCAGAGCATCCTGTGCATATGCGGACTTCATGTGTAGGTACCATACGTTCGAGAACAAAGTCAAAGTTGCCCATTATACCAGTGTGGGCACAGAGATTGACATTCTGTTGGACAGTGCTACCATGCGCTCGATGCCTGATGGTGGAGCTTGCACGAAAGAAGACTCTGAATTATTTCATCTCAAGCTCCTCAATCCTGAATTGTACAAGAAACTACATCCGACTCGTGGACCTTTGCACCCTCTTTTCGAGGAAATGATCGCGATCCTGCTGACAGACCTGAATCCATTTTTTCCATCGCAGCCACGACATCACAGTACGCTTGTGGCAGCCACCCTGCAATACATTGAAGGGTGTCAGTTAGAGCACGAGTACAGCGAGAGTGGGTTTGAGATCCAGGCTGACACGCCTCACCTTCCTCTATTTCTACGACACAAATCTGGAATTTCAGAAGCGTTTGTTCTCTTCGTCCTTGCTGGGTCTCATCTGGTTCCAGAAAACTATGCTTCCGAAGATGGAAGCTCAGATCGCCTATTCTTCTACAACAAGATATATCCGATGCTCCCAGAGCTCATTCCATTCTCCGACCACGTCAACGATGTTCTGTCTTTTTACAAGGAGTACGAGGAGGAATACGTGGGAGCGAATTACATTTGCACCGTGGCCAAAGCTGAGAACATCACCCTATTCGAAGTCCTCGATCGTCTCATGAACCAGATAGTGGAGATCCGGAAGAATGTAATGGCCATAGCGGAGAGGACCAATTCTCTGGAGGTCAAGAGAACCGTTGCTCAGTACTTTCAAGGCTATATTGCCTGGCACTTTTCTTGGGAGAAGCGTTATAGGCTTGGGGAGGTCTTTGGTGACGGCTGGTTCCAAGGTAATCTCATTTAATGCGGGCCCATTCGCATGACGTTCTAAGATATGTTGGACGTAATCAGTTGCCAATTCGTGAACGGCAACATGCAGCTAGCAGTTCTGTAGCAAGATGCGTGTTAGAATAAATTAGCCAGAGAGTTATATTCAATGTCTCTAGCTTCAAAAGCATAATCACTGCAGATTTTACTCTGCCTACCTCTCACACTCACGTAGACAAGAAGACAACTCCATCATCATTGGATTCCACCTTCTCAGTCACTTGATACTACACGCTTTACCTTCAAACCATTCCTGTTTACTTATTCGAGAACAACTCGTGAAACGCTCTGTAATCGTATTGCATCGTAAATCAGTTATTGTGATCGATAAGCTCAAGTTATATAGTACCAAAAAAGTAGTATCAGCTCACCATCTTCGAGTCCCATCTTCTTCGCTTTGATAGCATGTGGATTTCTGGATTTTGTTATCCGATTCTTAACACTGTTACCTTCAGAGTGTTAAAAATGGAGTACATGTTTCCGATGGCATGACGATTGGTTGCACGGGCACGTATTCAAGTCGTCAAGTTTCTCTTCAAAGCATGTGGGCGAACGAGTCCGCACTCACCCCTCTATGTAATTTGAAAGAATATAATTAAAAGATATGAAATATATAAAAAAATGTCACAATTATTTCTGAACTATTATTTTCATCAGATAATCCGATTTAGAGTTGTTAAAAGTTTGTGGTTAAGTCAATCAGCTGAAGTTGATAAGACGAAAGGAAAAGTCATATGATACAAATTACATAAAAAAAACTCAAAGAGTATTATACAAGAAGACAATATGATAACTTCAAAGTATTCTGTATACCTGCATTATGAAATGCCTGCATGGACTATCCGCACATGAAGTTGCTCTTCTTACTTTATGTACGCAATTTGAACGTGCGCAAAACTGAAAGTCTGCAAATGCTGATAAAAAAACATTTTTTAGAGATAAGATAATTTTAAATAGCAGGAGATATCTATCCCCGTGCATAAAGTGTTGCTGCTAGAACTAAACTACGCGGCCATTTGATTTCGGTTTAGAGGAGAGGCAGCGATCAGAGTCGAGCATGGTGAGGTGTGGTGCCGGGAACGAGGAGATCGTCTTCAGAGACAAGTTCCGCAACAGATGCTCGAAGTTCCTGGAAGACTTGTGCTTCAAGAACACCAAAGAATGCGCAAGTCATGAACTGTTGGATCAGATTTACGACGCTGTGTGCAGCCTGCGAGAAATGCAATCAACAAGCGTCGATATGATCAGAGTATGCTGTGCATATGCGGAATTCACGTGTAGGTACCATACGTTCAAGCACAAAGTCAAAGTTGCCCATATTACCATTGTGAAATTGCAAGATTTCAACGTTATATAACAAACTATGAGAGAGCTAATATGGTAGTGATATATAGTTTTTGTTGCATATAGTTTCACTTAAGCGCTCAGAGGAATTGCAGGTGACAGGATTTTGGACAAGACACACGGTAGTGGTCTCACGATGGAAAGTAAGGTTCCGGATTTACTATGAGAGGAAGGAGAGTTAGGTCACGAGAGCGACAGGAGATGAGTGAGTGCGCGTGTACAAAGAGAGCTTGGTTTTTGATTCAGCCAAGATTTCTACAAGTCATGTTGGTAGTGTGCCCGAAGGACACGCAGGCATCGTATCCAGGCCCCTGCATTCAGCTACCTTTTCCGTGAGTATTTGGCAACATCAAGAGCCGATCGACCGTGTGTCTGATGAACTTTCATCATCCGTGTGCCTTCTAACCTAGGGCATCACATTGAGATCAGCCTTCATCTCTCGCGGTGGTTCTTCTCCTCGAAGAGAGCGTGTTTGGACCTAACTGTTACGGAGATGGCAGACCTAAATACTGCTTAGCTCTCCTTCGTCAGTAAACCATGTACAGCCCAGCCGTTACAGCGATTTCCCATATTCTGTTTCTCCGCATCAACCACTGACATGTTTCCCTGAGGGATTCCTGTAAAGTGTTCTTTTAATATCATAGTACAGCAAAATTCTTCTCTTTGGCCTTTCAAGTTCCAGCTCTTTCACTATCTTCTTCACATCTTCCATGCCTTGCACCGCTACTTGCTCGGGGGTCCCTTCCCGGTGATCTACGCTTGCAAAACTTGCCATTCGACAGATGGAAATTCCATGGATTTGTCAATCTTTGGGCTCAAACATGCTGCTCTCACCGTGAGAACCTTTGCACTGATCACTGAACACATTTTAGACTCTCCAAGTACTAAAAAATAGTTTTTTTATATTCAGAATGTAATCACGTTTTATATATTATATATTTTTTTCAACTGTAAATTTTCTTAGTGAACGGTTAGTTATTCTCAATTTATGCTAATTATACTTCATCGTTCATGTATCTCACTCTCTCATGAAAATTTTAAGATTTTGGATTCTACCACGGAAACGCGACCGTGTTTCAATGCTCCATTTTCTCAACTGACCTACTAATGTACCCGATAAGTGTCTATGGTGAGACTACAAGAAGTTAATTCTAATTAGTATTAGCGATGTACTAGGGAGAATGATAATTAGCATAAAGTGAGGGATAACTAGTTGCTCCCTATTTTTATTTTATATTGTAAATATGCATTTTTATATTCAAAGCAAGAGGATCTTGAATCTCAAAATAGAAAAAATGAAGGCTTGAAATATTCATTATAACTTATAAAGTTTGATTTGTGAACAAAAATGAAAATAAAATCCATTTGATTTAATTTTACAAAAACTTCAACAAATTCAATTCTAAACTATTTTACTTCTTTTTTTATTGAATGTATTTAAATATATTAATTATGACCTACAAATATTTAAACTCATTTGCATTTTCAATATTTTCCATAAAAGTCAAAGAATTCAAAACATCCAATTAAAATTGAAGTATATCATGTTGTCAAATGACACTTAGTAGACATTCACACACAAATGTAACATAATAGAATATTTGATGTCTGTATTTGAAACTACTCGCACATAAACACAAATATGTTTCATTCCCGTACTAAGTTTTGTATCACATCAAGCCATGATCATCTCTATTACAAAACACCAAGCTAACTTGTCTAGCTCATTAAATTTAATAAAACCTCCATTTGATTCATAATTTGGTATGTGCAATCTTCATGATAAAAATAATACAGAAGTAAATCTAGCATAGATTGTCTATAATGTACAGTCAATTATAATCAGATTGTGATCATAACGTGCCAAAAAAATATACTCTTGAATAAATCTTTATTTATGCAAAATCTTCATAGAATTATTATTTTAAAAACCTTCATGAATGCATCACTTGGATAAAGTTTAATATAATTATTGACTTGTTCAATATTTTTTTTCAAATAATTTTATTTGAAAAAAATCTGAGAAAACTTGATACTTTAGTAATATCTTTGAAACTTGATTTTACTTTGTTTTGTCCTCCTATTTTATTCAATGAGAAACCTATCACATTCTTATATATCACAATAAAAATCATCCCAGGTTCATCTAAATTTCATTTACCCAAATGGCATATATTGTTGCTAATACATATTCAACTTTAGTATTTGGTTTTAAATACAAGAATTTTTTTGTAATAATGATGATTGAAACAGAGAGTTTAGAGATATGGTTAGAAATGTGATGAAAAAAATATATAATTTCATATGAGTTTGATGATGTAAAGTTTGTATATCATAGTTGTCTTACACTTAGTTACATAGAATCATTTCATAATCTACTATTGAACAAGTCATCTTACTCAATATTAAAATTTTGAACCACATTGGTAAAAGTAAATGTCATTCATCTTGCTTTTACACTACAATAATTTTTTGAATGATCAATTTTTATCAAAACTCAATTAATTATCAATTTTTTGTTTTAATATATATATAAATGTTTATTTATTTATTTATTTATTTATTTATATTTGAATCTAGTTGTGAAGGTAACAAATTTTCATGATGGTCATTTTGTGATTATAAATAGCTTAACTTTATATTTATTTCATGGCGAATGAAAAGCATGTATATGCCTTTATCATTTATTAAAATTTATCATGAATTAGCAAAACATAATTTTAAGTTACTGACTTCTCATCAAAATGATTTAACATATGTAAGAATGATTTATGCACAAAAATCAATGAAATTTTAAGAATTAACTCTGTTTGGTCATCTTGTAATTTTGTAGATTTTAAAATCAATACTAAAATTTTTCAAATATTGTTATAATTTTATAACTTTGTTCTTTATTGTTTGTTCAATTGCTTGTTTGAAGTTGCTTATAAATTTTTTTTATTCCCTTATGCTTCATGCTTATATTCAAAATCTATGTTTTTGGATATACTATAATAATTAAAATTGTTGTTACAATTGATACAATAATTTTAAAGCTTAAATTTAAAAAAATGATTTTTTTTCTTAAAACAAAAAAGATACTTAACTCAAAAGTTCAAGTTTTATGTTAAAAAAACTAAAAATAGCTATTTTAGATTATATTAAATCACAAAATTTATTAAATTAAAATAATTCTTATATATAAATTATTATTTATGAATTAAATTTAGACAAATAAAAATTAGATGCTATTATATTTGATTATGATGAAAATTTTTAAAAAATGTTAGATTATTTTCTCACATAAAAAGAATCCACCTTATTTTCAACACATTATTGAACAGTAAAATAAATTTTGAATATTGATCTCCATATTATAGTTCTTGTCCATGTTGATTCACGTAATTTATTTTACAAATGTATAGAGAGATCAACATGACACTAACAGTTGTTCTACATAGAGCAATAGGTAATGCAAATTAAAAGTTACAAATAAAAATAGTTGATGATAGTTACTCTTGTTATCAATAGAATGTTTCACTTTGATAATTAGAAGATTCTAAGGCATGTAGGATATATTTACCGTTGTGACACTACTGGTGACTAGTCCGTGGTTTTGCCTTCAGTCTCTTCCCTTGTTAACCTTCCAGTCTTTTGTATTATTTACTCTACTACCACGGTTCTTCGACAATCCTGATCAAGTTTCATCTTTTGATACTACAAGATTAGACTAAAAGTTTGGACGGATGTGAAATTCTCTGGCCGTAATATTATCTCCCACTGAATGTGCAACAGATCTCAAGTCCAGGCCAGGTTGACCTGAGAGAGAGAGAGAGAGAGAGAGGGAGAGAGACGAGGGATCTGACCCAACCCAACTCTCACATCAGTCGAGTCAAGGTAAGTTTGGGTTGGGTTGGGGTTGGGTTGGTTTCATGGAACCGGGAAAGGAGTGGGCTGCCTGCTTCCCCTGTGTCTGATCCATTAGCGCCTTGCTGGTCTGCTGCTGCTGGTGGGGGTTCATCCTTTGCCATGCCTCTGGCCTCATCCTCTCCAGCTCCAGCTCCAGAGTCCAGCAGTGGATGAATTGCCTGCCTGCCTGCCATCCCAGCTCCCTCTTCCTTCCGCTCTCCAGCCTCGCTCGCTGCGTCCGGGGTCGCTGTCGCATCAGCAGGCATAGCAGAGGATAGTGTGCAGTGGATTGAGAGAGCGACGTGAGTGAAAGAGAGAGAGAGAAAGAGAGGAGGAAGAGTAAGAGGAGGAGGAGGAGGAGGAGCTATGGCTATGGCCGCGGCAGCGACTTGGCCTTCCGCCCGCTTGGTCGCCTGCTCTTCTTCGTGCACAGGAGCAGGAGCATTGGAGTGCAGGAACAGAGTGGAATTTTGTGCGGCCTCTTTCCCTTCGGCCAGAGTGTGCAGGGACTCCTCGCGGTCCAATGTCTGGAGTGTGTTGGGCGGTAGAGTTAACAACACCTGCGGGCGCAAGGAATGGAGATGGCAGGCCGTTGCCGAGCAGCTGCAAGCAGAGGCTGAGAGTGATGAGGGAGTGGAAGAAGCCATCTCATCGGACACCCTCGCTATGCATTTTGAGGTGTTTACTGTGCAGTGGATTTTGTGGATTGAAGCTTTCAATTGCTCACCTCTCGAGGCAAAATCGCGAGGCAGTGACTTTCGTTTGTATCGGTTGGTTATTCGGACCCTTTATTATGATTCGTTGTGGCTTTTACTAAATCCACAGTAAAATGTTGCAGGCAGAAGGAACAATTGCTGACTCTTCAATACCCAAATTAACGAAGAACTTGGAGGTATTTCCGCCATGCACTCAGTGCTTGCTTTCAAAGTGCTTTGTCATACAGATATCACTCAGCTTGTGAGAAATTTAGTTGGCTGTTTTTTGGTTTGCGCGAGGGGGATGTCTCATCCTCGTTCTGTACTTGAGAATTCAGTTTGAATGAGTTGGGGCGTCCAGTGTAGCTCTGGTGCACAATGTTCACAATGTGGGGTTTATGTTACAGGCCATTGAGGGTGTAAGCAATGTGGAGGTGTACATCTCGGAAGGAGGTGCCACCGTGAGGGTAACTTTCTAAACTCCATTGGCATCAACAACTGGTTTTGAAACTTGTTTTTAGGCGATGCAAGTCATTGTCTCAGGAAAAATTTGGTTATCAACGAAGATGATATTGTTCCATGTGACATCCTTGGGGAATACTTCATAGAGAAGAAGGTCTACGAGTGAAGTGTGTTACTGGTTTACTTTCTCGAATGGATTTTGAGGCTTCTTATTCACACGCCCACTTTCTTAAAACACCCGTAAACCGTGGAATTTTCTGCGGAAGCGGTACAAGTTAGTGTCATCCAACTTGAAGGTGCATGTCCGTCATGCGCCCAAAGGTTTGACATTGGAAGATGATAAATTTAAGGACGACATAGATTGGCTTAAGGTTTGCAACGTTTTCACGGCAACCAAAACGCCCTGTGCGACAGTGGCCAAATTCTTTGGTGGTTTGTTGCTTAGGGATATGCCACGATCTCAGTCAACTGACCTACATTTATCAGTAACATGTGCTCTGGAGTGAAGAGAGACTCTCCAGACCAGCAATTATCTGCCTATGACATCGTCGTGGGTTTATGCGATCACTTTGAACAACTCTCTTCCTCCGAGTACCGACTGAAGCACAGGAGAGGCATCTTTGTGATTCACGCACTGCAAAAGCGCATAACTATTCAAAATTGCAACTCATGTTATTCATCTGTTGTTGCAGCTCACGAAGCAAATGAATGTTCAAGCTACAGGCGTGGCATCTGGTCTTGTTGAGGTCATCACCAAGGGTGGATTCAAGCTGCAAGCCTTGAACTTAGGATTCGACGAGGACGGTGATGATGACGAAGACTTGTACGATTACGATATGTCTTCCTACAGTGAAGAAGAAGTCGTCGCGGCAGAGTAGATTTATTTGAAGTGGAGATGCTGAGTATTAAGGAAAGGCTCATTGGTCTTAGAAAGGCTCATTGTGTTCCATTTATCTTAGCAATTTCTTTACCACAAGAAGTAGATTTGATACCTTAAAGGTAGGATGAAATGTTTTCATTTCAAATTCATGTTTCATATGGAAATTCAATCATGGTCAAAACAGGTCGCAATGGTCTATTTTATGAAATAGACATTACACAATTTGCACCATCTTGAAATGACTTTCTGCCTCAGTTTGAAATCTTAATTTTGAATTTGATTCAGATGTTCACCTGAACACTCGAAATGTACTTCAGTTGCAGTGTTATCCTCTAACGTACGATTATCCACAGGTAGTGAACGTGGTGTGAAACTTAGCGAGTTTATCTCCGAGCATTCTAAACCGGTATGGAAATTGCAAATCGGCGAGAGATTTGATTTTTTTTTATTTTTGCCCAAATGTGATAAATACTTAAACGTACATAATACATTCTATCTCAAAACTACAGGATGGCTTTGCCACTAAACCAGCCTTATTCTGTGCACAATTTCACCTTCAACATTATACACTTTTAATTCAGAAAACGGGCACATTTTCCTTGCTAAACCTGCGGAAATCTTTATGACGACGGTGACAGAGATGTTCAAACAAGGGTGGAGTGGTAAAAGGTATATTCGAAATACAATCTTTCAGTGGACAAGTAAAAGATAAAGCCAGCCAGAAACAGAAGTTTTGCTTCAGGAGTATGTAATTTAAGAGGATGGACTATTCTTTTTACAAGATTCCTCGCAGACTTGCAAGGGAATAGATGAGCCGTTGTATGATACAACTCAAGGTCGGGATAAAGAGGAATTTTGAGTGTTCATATTCTCTAATATCACTCATGCCTCTCTTCAATGTCAGGAATTTCCCAAGTGCTCCCGAAGTCAAAGTATCCTTCAGGTCGTACTATGGACATGAGGTAGATACATTCGCCTTCTTCCTATCTTGAAGTGGGAGCATGAATACCACACTCGGTTTTGGTGCTTCCGTCCTTGTTCTTGATTCCCTGTCGGCACCCAACAAAGACAAGAATGAGAGGTTTCCGAAAGTTATCCACACTGGTTACTCTCAAGATGAATTATCAGGCGCATCTATACTTCTACTTAATACTGAAGGAGCGATTTACCTGTTTAGAGGGCAACGGTGATCCACAAAACGCTTAAGAAAGTTCTAATCAGTTCCTCAACTTGGATCACATACCTGGAAGCGGCCGGACCGCTCACCACCATATTCAAACCACTGGGATTTCGGAACCGGTAGTGTGCTCTGCATATCTCCGATGCTAGGATATCCTTGGTCGTGGAGAGGGTGATACGGTAGTTGATACTTCTCAATGTAGTCCCAGCAATCTCTGCCGATTGAAAGAACAACACACATCAGCCTTTCCACATACGTCATGGTCAGAAACACAACCTCAATTAGAAAAGTCACATGACAGGTGTTGAGAGGAACATTCAATAGCTGGCGTGCTCTAGAGGTGTAATCATTTCATAATATCATCACGTCAAAGTCTCCGAGCAGCACCTAACGTCTATAGATTTCTTGCATACCTGAATTCCCAGTAGGCAAGAGGTTGAACTTTGGCCATGTCTCCACCTTCAAATATCTGCACAATAATGTTTCGCATTAAGAAAAAGAGTGACCGATAAAAGATAACTGCACGTAGATAAATCTTAAGAAGAAAATGGATACTGAAGTCAGGAATAAATGCTGCATCCGAACTAAGATATATATATATACATAGCCGTCGGATAGATGTAGGTACTATGCCAAGAGTGTAGAAAAAAAGGCAATTCTGAGAGGCACACAACAGTCTACGTACTTGCCATACCGCAAAACCAACCTAACCTACTTCTATCTGTAAAACTCTCTGATAAAATATAGAAATATGCGATTTTGTATAAAAGGCTTCTGGTTCTAACTCTTCAGTGCATTCGACTCAGATTATAAACGTTCGGGTTGGAAGAAGGTGATATGGACCTCAAGATGGGCTCTTTCTGCACCATGATCTCTCCTTCTGCCGTTAACCATGGCATCAACCTGACGATTGCCAACAGGCAGACTTAGTTTCTGCTACTAATTTTTCCATTAATACTTCCATAGAAAACGAAGCATGTCACGACTTCCTCAAAAGTGCCTAGCTTGAAAACGACAACTGCATGAGAAGACCAGTGACAGTTTTAAATCCTGTACAAGCCAGAGAGTCCTTACCTCCAATGTCTTCAGAGCGCGGCTAAATGGCTCTACTTTGCAGATTCTGTCATACTCGTCAACATCCTGTACGGAGAAACATAGCGCCTTTAACATTTCAAAACTGATGACCATATAAATGTCTATTCAAGAGGTTCACGTAACTACAGCGTCTACTTTCTGGACAACGTCCCAATCTAAACAAACTCTGCTAGTGCATCACAACCTCAATAAAACTACAACAAACTTACTCGGATAAAAAGGTCTGAACCATATTTTTCATCGTACTCCTGTTTGTTGGCCATACCAGCAGCCTGAAATATGTGAGCTTTACAGCCATACCGCTTCTGCATCAGCAAAAAATTGGTTCAGCCTTGTCAAAGAGTTTTCAGTTTTTTTTCCGAAATGAGAAGATATTCCATATTCGAGGTTAGAGAGAAAAGATTGCAGATTCAAAGAATTCACTTCTCACTGACCTCCACGGCTGCCAAAAATGTCAACGTTTCGGGGAAGAGATGTAAGGTGTCGATAAATATGATTTTGACTTTCTCGTCATCAAAAGCGCCGACCCTACTGAGAAGATCCAAGATAACCTGCACATATCCAGGAGACGAGCGGATCAGACACACATGCGAGATTACAATATCCTGTCAGGTTTTTGATATGTAGGAAAAGACGTCTCTTCCATCCACAACCACACTGTGGGCATTCTGGAAAGAATGAAGTTTTGACGAAGATTGAAGGTCTGACGATAGCGTACCACATCACCTGTGATCAATGCACAAGGAAATGCTGGCCTCTGATAGTTCTCGATGGTCTTCCTCAACGCGTTCAGGGCTTGGGTTTCCAAAATTGACAATCGCTCGTCACGCACCTGCTTGTTCCACTCAGTCACATCTATTCCGGTTTCTTTGGCTAAGCTGCTGCCTCTAATTTGTACGTTGCAACTCTTGGGCACCCTTTTCGCCTTCCACACAACGGGAGCATATCCAGGCCTACTGCAAGAAAAGCGTCCATGGACTCAACTCAACAATTTCAAGCTCCATCGAATCCACCATACAAAAAAAAAACGATTACTCCACATCGAATTCTCAGAGAAGCGCATGCATCCTGCATCGAAAGCTTTACCAAATAAGATAAAATTCAAGAAATTCACACAAAAATGTTGACCCACCTGCCAGGAAACAGACCGGGACGCACAGCAAGAGGTTGCTGAGTTTCACATGACACGGGAGAACGACTCTGCGCAGAGACGGATGCGAGCGGAGCCACGGCCATGGCCGTGGCAGAGATATCCATCACTCCAAACATCTTCCACGGGCGTTGCTAATCCAGCTCGCGCAATCAAAAGGTCTTCCACAAGGGTCCCGAACGAGCACGAATTCTTACACCGCACCTCACTCACTAAATGCAGGTAGCCCGCCACCACCAGAGAGCCAGCCCGCTCTCAGGAAGCCGAAGCCGACGCCTGCCTGCGACAATCGGAGAGAGGAGGAATTCAATGCACCAATGATCAATGAACAAACTGACGATTGAAAGCGGTCAGTCCTGGGAAGGAAAGGCGAAAGAAATGAAGATGAGGCGAGCAAGCAGATTCTTCTTGCTGAATGTACACCGTGTGCTCTACACATTCCCTTACCCAGAGTCCAGCAAATTCCGGCACAGAAGTCCGATGTTCATCCCATCATCCATGCTCTGGTGCCTGCAATCTCACCACGTGCCCTCCAGGCAGCACCTTCCATCGAATCGCCGGTCTGTCCTCTACTCTGGAGCTTTTCATCCTTCTGCCCCGTCATCCCATTTTCCTCTCACAGTTTTTCTTTGGCCGCTCGCATTGTCTTCGCACAGTAAATTCTTCGCATTCCTTCCGGTCAGCATGACCGGAAGGAATGCGTTAGGCACCGAAGAGGTCCACCTTTCGCAAATCGCACGTAATGTGGACATCCGTCGAGGTAGGATTACGAGGGTTATGTACTGTAACTTGAGAAATATTTGTCTGCGTTCGCAGATACATCAAATTTTATTTGAACGTGATTTGCTTTGAAAATTTTCTCTGTCACGGCTCATAGTTCGGGAACATTCTTGTGTTTATATCCGTGGATAAAAAAGTGAAATATTATTGCTTTTGTTTATACTTCTTTATTGTTTTAATGTCATGATCTTGACGACTAGTAATATCAACGCGTAGATATTGATATTGTCGCCCTTAAAAATACTTTATGTTATATGGAGGGTGAATGTGACAGGGCGTTTTAATTTCATATCAACTGGAGACCTATATATTTTGCTAATAAGTGAACAGAGTACAATGAAAACTCTGAGTATCTAAGATAATGTTACTCTTTGAGACATAAGAGTTGTCATCTTTGTATGTGTGAGAGAAAAGTAAGACATATTTTTTCTTGGAATCATTGGCTTCAGGACAATATCTAAATCAATATTGTTTAGAAGTTCACTCTTGTCATCTTTGTTTTGGTTTAATATTGAGTTATCATTGGTATGTAAGGGAGGGATATGGATGTAGAAGATCATTCTCTTCTATATGTAAAATTACAAAATTCCTTTTATGTGTATGATTACGAAAGACGAGGAATGAAGGATTGTTTTCCTGAGAAAATAAAGGCATTTTCTTTTCCATTTTTGCTCCTCAATTAGACTAGATTCGTACAATTTACTTTTACTTTGCACAATAGAATCCAAAGAAACATCAGTTGATCACCAACTCATAGTATTTGCAATAAGCTAAGGAGTATGATGAGTAGGTAAGTTCAATTCAATATTTATATAAACATGCCTCATTAGGTATAAACATATCAAAACGAGATTAACAAGAATTTAAATTGTCTAATTAACCCAATATTTGCAATAACTGGAAGTATTAGGAAACAATGATAATCTCGTCTTGGAGTTATCTTTAGGTATAGAACTCCAAAAAGAGAATAATGATATTTTTAACTCTCTACGTAATCCAATGTCTTCGGTTATTGCAAGTTGATATTTTACTCACCATATTATACCCTAATGTTTACTAGTTCGTTCGAAGCTATTTTCCACGTTGAAATTATAACCATCACAAAAATAATTTGGTCTCGAAATAGGTAGTTCCATCACATTGTGAATAGATAATGTACTCTTCTATCTATTATGCATATGAAACTCTATTATTTTTCAATTATATGTCATGTGAATAACGAAGATGAAAAATGTTCGAATCAAGATTCCCAAGCATATGGTTCTTATGTTATATATTGATTTGTTCATTTTTTCAATCATGAAGATCTTGATGACTAGCTCCATATTACCAATTTCATTTATCCATGTATGACTGGATGTGATACCCTTTCCCTTTAGCTAGAATGCTTGGTACTATTTCTAGTTAATTCTATGATAAAATCTATTGATCTGGATGGTTGTTACCAAACGATCCAATACCAAAGAAAATTTTTACATTTGAATATCTATTGACTCCACAGATGATCTGATTTTACACTTACATTTGTAAACGCGTAGCAATTTCATTCAGGGAATCGTCAGATCTAGAATTAGAGAAGAAATACGAAGAATACAGACAGAAGCAACTACCTGACTTAATTCCTCGAGAACTTAAAACTGGCACTAAACTTCATTTCATCGCTGGTCTGTTTTACCACCATCAGCACTTGAAGAACTTTACAGTTGAGATTATACTGAGAGACTACGAATTAAAATTCTCGGGGTTGGCGATGGAGATGAATGGATCTGACAGATAGACTCTCATGTGTTCTTAACCAGGTATACAGCTTGTAGGATTGAATTTCCATGGTGATATTAGCAAGAAAACAAAGAATTGAGAATTTGAGAATTTTCATCATGCAGTTGAGGCCCACTTTGTACGGGAGTTATTGTTGGGTGGTGCTCATGCACTGTATCTGCAGATTATGTGCAGTGCTCTTGTTACTGCAGTCTGGACGTGGTTAACATCTAATTCGACTTAAACCCAATGCCTTGAAGCTCTTCACAATTTTCGGAGCACATTCGTCCTCTGTTTCTGCCACATTGGTCCGAAGTTTCCTTATCAGAACGCTGGTGGTAGTTGCAGTTTGTCAACCACGCTGCCAACTTATTGGTTTGGACATGGCAAACATTCCTGCCGAGAAATCAGGGGTATTTCCTGTACTTGAAGTGCTGTGGTGAATATTGTTAGTAGCCGACGAAATCATGAAATTTTAAGTAGTTGAGTAGCTTGTAGTTGACATTGTTACGAGTTTAAGCACAAATTTCCGGTAGGATTTTGGAAATTTAGCTCAGTAGATGAGTAGAATGATCGGTTGCGATATTATTATTACTGTCTTTAACACGTACCGATTGCGTCTTGGATTCAGGAATTTTTGACGTGCTGGATGCGTTTTCGAGCTCGATCTAAAGCTGAGAATGTTCACGAATTAGGTTACAGGTGAATGTTGCAATTCTCATTTTCTACAGTCAGCGTGTCCACGGCCTCAGTCCAGAAATTATCCTCCTCTTAACTTTCTGTTGAGTGCATCCGGAAGAGCAATTAATTTGAGATTGGCTTCAGAATGGGCTGGAATTTTTTCTGCTCTTGAAAGTTCACTACGAGCTCATCAAGACTGCATAGGGTTTTGACTGACCAGATCTTCTCTCTCAAGTTAATTTCTTGCCTTTCGTACTTCGTTTACGAGATAATTGCGTTTTACATGGTTTTTAGAATTTTTGTTTTGTTCCAACTCGTTGTGCAATTGTTGGTCCTTCGTATTGTGGGTGAGAAGCGACTATAGATGTAGCCTGAGTATGTACAGCTGGCTTTCAGCAATCTGATGATGGAAATTTGAATTGCTAGGTCCATGTTCTGAGGCATGGAGCTTATGTGAGAACGGCAAGTCTTCCTAGGAGGCATGGAAACAACCTTTGAGAAGCTTTTTAGGAACTTAGGTGACAATATCGAGAACTTGAAGTCTCAGGTTCCAGCCGAATTTGGGGACAGGTTCGGTAATTTTAGGAAGAATATGGTAGCTCTTGCAAAACAGTCGTGGAAAGCTGATCGAGGTCCACCTAGAGAGGGCCTCCCTCTTCTTTTACAGTCTCCCTGGCATCCGTCTATCACGTACGTACTCTACTAGCTTATACCCACTTCGTGCCTGATTGAAGATGTGAACGTGGATGCTGTATCTGTTATCTGAAGATTCGTACTCATCTTTGTATGATGCTAACAGAGTGGGAGAAACGAATGAAGTAGACAAAGTGGTGGAGGCCCTCCGTGATTTCTCTGCCGAGTTACTTTCTCTATTGAAGGTTGTTTGCAAACACCTAGATTTCTGGAGGTTAAAAAATGAGGTTTGCTTCCAAACTCCAGTACATCTGTTCAAATGATTCCTTTGCTGCCTATAGAAGAAGGTCCCCGGTTAAGTTCTTTAATATTTTGAATAATGTAGGGCTGAACTTGAGCCTCAGAAGCCTCAAACTTAGAGCAAAGTTGCACATATGAAAATTGTCATCCTGTACTGGGACGAGTCCGTCAATAAGGAGATCAAATGAGCTATGCATGAAGGTCGCGATGAGATAGTCCAGATAGTCACATGAGTTCATCAATAGTTGGTTATGAATCTGGGGATCACAGATTTCATCCCTCCTACAGGGCCAAGCCTTTTATAAGATCACTTAATTCTCGCTAAAAATGGATGGTTATGTGAATAAGTACTTACATGACTGAGTTAGTAATGTTTATCATGAAATTGATTTCTCAGGGCACAGACGCATCGAAGGTCCGCCTAATGATACTGGAAAGAGGTCCATGGCAATTAGTGCTTGGTGTATCACGCTTCGTGCGGGGTTCCATTTGGGAAAAATCCGCGACATCTGGCCTTGTGTCCGCCGTGACTACTCGTATCAATGAGAGGGTGCTTGTACTTACTGCTGTTCAGCGAAGGCTTGCATCACTTGTAGGCCAGGTCAGTCTGTATCTCTCTTACATCATCTCTTATCAAGCTATTGTTACATAAACCACGTATGATAGAAGTTGTCTGATCATTGTTTCGTATCTAACAACGATGGACAGTTGTCTTTGTTCTAAACTTACGACAGGTCCACATGGAGATCGACAAGTTGAGCCAGGATATTGGAAAGGGGCATCATATTCCAGAAGCATTAGTATCTTCGTTGTCAGCAGTACTTAGAGCCATGAGCGTTTTGGAAGGTTCCTATGATCTACCTCAGGCAGGTGACTACCAAGCATGTGCTGGTACTCTTTCTCAACAGTGATGATTTTATCGTGGGATGGAAATCATATCTTCTGAGTCCCTTTACCAGCATACAGTCCGTTATGTTTCGATTAAACGCGAAGTACATCCTTGTTAGCTTTTGGATGTGGAAATTTGGTTTGGATTTCATTGGTGTGTCGCCTTCACATATAGTTGCTAAATTTTTGTAAAGCGCGAGAGTGTTGTGACTTGACCTCCGTGCCTTTGTACAAGTCAGACCGATGCGAGCAGCTATGAAGACGTCAAAGCGACATCAAGTATCAGTCTTCGATTCGATGAGATTTCTGATAATCTGCGGAGCAAGTCTGAATGGAAAGGAAAGGATATGGACGATGCTGTTGACTTGCTATTTACCAATTTAGACCTTCTGCGAACCTTGATAGATTGTCTGGTGAGTAAATAACGATGAAATGTTAAGACTTAACTTGAACATATGCACGTTGTGGTCACTGTCTTGACATGATGTCTGCTTAATATGGTGTTTGTGTCTTTCAGATGTTTCATCACCGCAAGCCTCACAAGATAACAAGATACTGGCTTCGGTACACCGGGGGTGCAGTTGGCCTTGCATTTGCGTCTGGATGGTTAATTCGCCACAGTCGCTTGGGAGGGAGTGATGACATTGACCGGTGGTTGAGAGAAGGTCGGGAAGCAGTCATGACTTTCATCCGCGAGCATGTTGAACAGCCGGTATGAAGCTGTTCTCTGACAGCTGTATTGATGGAGCGTACAAGAAAGAATAGCAGATCACGTTATGAATGACATAATCACAAGAGAGGTCTAAGTTCGTCATTTGGGGGGAGTGAGTTGATCCAGACTGTAGAGGGCTATCCAGTCGCCTTGTTGTATCTATGAATATTTTTTACGTTAATTTTGTTATATGTTCTGTCAACCTTCATGGTACATGCCGCATGTTTCTTCAGGACCTTGCCCATAGGTATATTTTTGAAATCTCCCACTCAGAAAGTAGTCTGTCCGTTGTACGACTTTCCAAAGCTTTTGTACGTATGTGTCCTGGTGTCAGCTTCTGTCTATCAGGGATGATCTCTTTGAAACTTTCCGTAAGCGGCATCATGAACCTGATTCACTAGGAGAAGCACAACTGACGGCCGAGTCATTGAATAGGTAGGGAGCTTTGTGAAGTTTATATATAAATCGTTTCCAGTTGTGTGAAGAGTTTTCACTTTGATACGTGCCAGTTTATATAAAATGTCTATTCCATATGCAGAATGCTGCTTGAATTCGTCAAGCATACTAGCGATAAGCTGCCCGAGGATCTTACAGAACAGCAGATGATGGAAGTGATGATGACAAGGTAATTGGTTTCCCTCTAGATATGCGATGTTATCGCAGTGCCTTGAATGTGAGAAAATGTCAGATCGCTATCGTTTCTGGACGCGAGCAAGAGGTCAATGATGTGTGAAAGGCCAGCACTTACCACTTCAGTTTCAATTCAGCTTCATCTTCACCTCAAAATCAGCTAACTGTTTTTTTTTGGCTTCCCAGGTATGAGGAAGAATTGGTGCACCCGTTGAGAAATCTTCTTGCAGGACAACTCGCCAGGGCTCTCCTTATCCAGGTAACGTTTTCGAAAATCTTCGTCTACCTCTACTAAGTTGGACTTGCTCAGTTTTTTAACGAGCTGCAACTTGATTAGCGCTTGAATGGGCGTTGTTGGTCTACTAAATGTGAGTTGTGCCTCCGTCCTGGACGTTCCTGTCCTTCTTGAGAGACAGAATCATTAATCTGAAGTTTCCTCTCTTTAGACCTTATAACGGAGAGATGTGGCAAGTCTCTCCGTTCGTTTTGTTCGTAGGCATTATTCTTGCGAGTTTGGAACTAGTGCAGGTTTTTATCGAAGCCATAGATTAAAGGATGAACTCGCTTAGTGTGATGATCTCACATTCTTTTCGTCTTGCGTGCGAATCTTGCAGGTTCAAAAGTTGAAGCTGGATACGGAAAGGTTGGTGTCTGCCATTCCGCTAGATCACCAAGAAGTATTTCAAGATAATAGTTGTGGATTGCCTACCATCTCCTCGCATCTCAGCATTCCTTCCCGCAAAATAGTACTCTCTTGCTACTTTTGTTAGTGTTTAAAACTTGGTAAATAAGATTATGTCATAGACCTAGGTTTTGACAGGCAGATACTTATGAGTGCATTTCATCCATGTACAGGGCAATGCTGGAGTTGAATCAAATTTTGAGAGCCAATGAAATTAATTTTGCAATATTGGCAGCCTTTCCAGCTGTTATAGTCACTTGTTTCCTTGGATACTTCGGGAAGGTGTTGCTAATTGAGGTATACCCTTTCTATGCTCCTGGAAGTCAGAGAATCTATATAAGGGAAGAAGATAGAATGGTTATTAATTATCACCACGTCCACCTGACTACGTGTTCCGAAAGTTCAGCCGTGTATTATAAGTTCTAGTGTCTTGTCGTTTTTAATGATTAGTTTTAATCTCTCTTTCCCTCTAGACGGACGAAGTAGGTCGTGGAAGAGCTGCGCAAGCAAAGCGACGGATGCTAATGGCCGAGGTCGAAAAAGCCATCATGTGTTTCCAGATGATGCTAGATGAAGCGCGGGTAAGATTTGTTTTGACATGAATAATTCTCTCTTTCTTCCTTTCTAGGACCAGTGTAAATCACAATGTATTACTGAAGGAGCACTTAGTCATATTGTAAAACACGTAACACATAATCGGTTGAAAACAATCGACTTGAAATCTTGTCATATTCCATTGATATAAGTCAGGATCTCCTCTAAATGGACTGGACACAACAGTTATTAAAAAGAGTATCCAAATTAACTTGAGACCGTTTGATGCTTTTAGCAAGAGGAGGCTATGTGGAGATTTGGTATGGTTATATACGGTCTCGACAGATTGTACAAAGCTGTCAAGAAAGTAGCTGTGGAATCTGGGGAATGGCCGAGGTATGTACTTCCTGCTTGGGATCTGCGTTGTTTTTTGCAAGATAAACTTTTCTGGTATGTTATTGAATCTTGTGTTCAGCATCTTAGATGGCTAAATACTCGTCACTAATATTCAACTCAAGTAAGTAGCTTTGAGAATTCCGTAGAAGGTGCTGAGGAAGAAAACTTGGACTATGTTTAAGTACATGGAGTCTTTATGTTGTGCTAAATGTCTTAAAATATCTTTTTTGTATATTGTCTGTGATATTACTTGTCATACTGCAGCACGATTGGCTCTCCGCTCGAGGAACGGCAACAATCATCCATAGAGTAATTATTGCTGCTCTTAGTAACCATCTTGCTTTCATTTTAATCATTGGTGGTGGTGGTTGTTAACAGCTTGCGAGGAGATATTCTTGATTTAGCAAAACCAAGGCTTTCGTCGACGTACAAGTTGCAAATAACTGCGAGAATGGAGCGAATTTATGAGTGTCTTGTTCCACTGCCGACTTTATGACCGTCCTGGAAGTGAATACTGCATACTGCTACGAGGTCAGGATACAAGACCACGAATACGGGAGAAACTTGAATCTTTGTTATCATCATACAGGATTGGAATGCAGATTGTCAGCTTCTGTCGGCCAATCCTGCACAAAGCTGCGGATTGGTATGAGGAAATCAGTGTGGGCGCTAACGGACGAGGGTATGTGCATGTAGTACTTAGTTTTACTTCTGCAGCTACGAATTTGCAGCAGTTATCTTTGCAACACCTTCAGATGAAAAGATTCACAACGCCGGAGGTTTTGAAATCATTAGTTTGTTGGAAAGTATGAGTACTCGAACCTTTCATGGTACTCCTGCCGTGTTGTATCCGCATCTCACTTCAAAAGTGGGAGTAGGAAATGCCGATCAGGTTTAGGGCAGGTCATTCAGAACATTTGGCTTTCTGGGAATTTAGGACATTTGGTCAGACGAGAGTGTTTTACAGCTGGAGGAGCATCTCGACATCATTCGGGTGGTGCTAGGAATTATATTTTTGACTTTGATGACTTAAAATCCTGCCTTGATCGAAGTACAAGTACAAGATGACTTAAGATTCCTGCCTTGATCGAACCCACGCAACAACTATCGTCAGGCACTGGATGCTGATTGTGTGCACTCATTTGCGTACGAACCAGCAGTCAAAGGAGTCTTCGAAATGGAATGTGCTCTTCGCCTTCAAGGCTCCCAAAGTCCCACTAACAGATCGAAACCACCACGTCCGACGAGACAGATTTCTGTCAGTTGATCTCTCCAGGGCCAATTCTTGCAAAGGCGTCTGCAGTCTCAACTCTCTCACTGTGAACTTATGCACACTTGCAATGGAAGAGTTCCCACAGACCTGTTCATCTCTCACGCAGTTCTTTCGAAACACCATTTGTGAAAATGTTCATAACACCTTTTCTGGTACTGCTCTAGAGAAGATTTGTAACCATGGGTTTTGCAAAGCGCTATTGTCACTAAGTACTTTGATGGGGTTGGCTGTCTTCATTGGTTTTTTCTCATGTTTGTTTAGTACGATTTGATTTACATAAGTTATGTAATGGGTATTAAATACACATTTTCTGAAATCAATGTTGAAAATTTATTTTAATTTGAAGAGAATATAATGGTTTGAAGTAAGTCCACCTCATTCGATTTGTATTTCAAGTTTTTGCGCATGGGGCAATGACGCAGTTAGTGAGGTGAAACCCAGACGTGTCAATTGTTGGTTAAGACTATTTACAAATGAACATTTAAAATTAATTGTATGACTTATATGTTGTCAAATCTATATATGATAACAAATATCTTGGTAGTTTAAATTAAAATAAATAGATCAATAAAAAAAATTATATATGTTAATTTAAATTTTTTTAAGCAGAAGAGTAAAATAAACGTTAACACATGACACTGGAGTGTGCACTAATTTAAGACTTTTTGACCGGTAAAGACATATGAATCTATAATTCCAGAGTACATATTTTCAAATAAAATAATGAATTACGTTACCCGATATAAATTAAGTTTGAATCTATAATATTAGATCACATGTCAATTAAGTCTGAATCTATAATTTTGGATTATTTTTTATTCTAGAAAATGATGAATGACGTTATCCTATATCAATTAAGTGTGATATCCGAACGCTAAAAATTTGCGAAAATGACAATAATCGAAGACAACGTGGGAGATGGTAAAGAGGGAGAAAATCTCGAAGAAGGAAACGAGTGGAGAATCGAGGCCGTCCAGAAGTGGATTTCCCGGTGAGAAATCGACGGCAAAAGCAGAGAAAAACCTGGCTCCATCCAAGCTGACGAAGCAAGCGGAGGCTGATGCAGCAGGGCGCGGGGCCCCACAAAGCGCAGGCCGGGGCCAATGCCACCAGGAGCTGAAAACTCGTGGCTCCCAAAAGTCCGACCGATAAGATTATGAAATTGTAATCAGGAGCGCTGCACGAGCGGGCGCCTCGCAGGAATTGCGAAATCCGGATTGTCGCAGGGATTGTGGCAAGGTTTAGAGGCGAGGAGGGTTTTGGCAGAGGAAGCAGGATTTGGTTTTGGCACGCACGAGGAGGAATGCTGAATTGAGAGAGGAGGAGGAGGTGCTGCAAGTGCGACGAGCGCAGCCGGAGGCGATCAATGGCGACGTTGATGGGGAGCTTGATGCTCGCCAAGCCCGCAGCAGGGCTGCAGTGTGCATCTTCGGCCAGGCTTCAGAGTTTGGAGACTGGAGCTCAGAGGCTCAGAGCAGGCTGTTTGGTGTCCGCGCCCAAGCAGCGGCGACAATGTGCACGGAGTGGTGTGGTTCTGGCTGTGGCGACGAGTGCCGAGGTTTCTAGCAATGGCTCTGCGAAAGCGGTAGCGCAGGATGGCCAGGAGATTCCTTTGCACGAGCAGCCCACTTATGGTCGTCAATTCTTTCCTCTAGCAGCCGTTGTCGGACAGGTGAGAGAAATTTTGGCATACAGGAAATCTGAATGGGCTTTCGTTGCAGTGTTTGACTGGGGTCTACGGAGAATAGCCCAAGGATCAGGACTCGAGACTCTCTCATCGGCGCCGAGATTAAAAGTGCTCATTTCTCTTAATTGGGATGGGATAATTTTGTTTCTGTAACAGCCCAGGATAGTTCCCATGGTGGAAATAAATTAAAATGTGTGGCTACATATTAACGGCTTGGAAACTGTAACAAAGAGCACCACGAACACACAGTTGGAAGGGCCCTTTATCCCTGCCAATCGATTCTTCAAGCAGGAAGCAGCACCAGACGCTGCATTACGGCAGAATCTGAATTCTGTATTTTCAGACATTGCGAAATCTCAGTCTACAATGGAGTGCGGAGCTGACACAGAGGAAACGCAGAGTTGTGTGGCTCTCTAGTGGGTGGCGTAGTGAACAATGTGAATTCAGGGACGAGTTTGAAGACCCTCATGTTCGTGCTGTCATTTGCTGCAGGATGCTATTAAGGCAGCGTTGTTGCTGGGAGCAGTTGATGTTGGAATTGGAGGAATTGCTCTGTCTGGAAAGCGTGGTACTGCAAAGACCATTATGGCGAGAGGACTTCATGCACTGTTGCCTCCTATCGAAACGGTGAAGAATTCTGTGGCGAATGCTGACCCATTGAAGCCTGAGGAGTAAGATACAGTCACATTCTTTGGATCCCTATAAAGGCTTATGTGTTTGCTTCATTCAGTGTCTGAATGTTAATCTGATCGACATTTTTCTGCTATCGAAGATGGGAAGCCGGGTTGGAAGAATTTCTGGAGTACAACAACGATGGAAGTATCAAAACGGAGATTAAAAGAGCTCCTTTTGTACAGGTAGGGAAGAAATTCCAGTATGATTGGCACCTATGATACCACCCAATTTCTGTATTAGAACCCTAACTGATATCAATTGTGGCATCCTTTACAGTCAAGCTATGAAAGCATATGACTTAAACGGAATCGGCTAGTGTAGGAATATTGATAATTGTCTGTATTTTCCAGATTCCTCTCGGTATCACGGAGGATCGTTTGCTAGGCTCAGTAGATGTAGAAGAATCCATCAAATCGGGAACTACAGTTTTCCAGCCAGGCCTCCTCGCCGAAGCTCACAGGGGAGTCCTTTATGTCGATGAGATCAACCTCTTGGACGAAGGAATAAGCAATTTGCTTCTCAATGTTCTTACTGAAGGAGTGAACGTTGTGGAAAGAGAGGGTGTCAGCTTTAGGCATCCCTGCAAACCCCTACTCATCGCCACGTATAACCCCGAAGAAGGAGCCGTCCGCGAACATTTACTTGATCGCATCGCCATCAATTTAAGGTTTTTCTCAACACTGAATGCACTCTCAACGTATTTGCTTTGGATATGTGGCCTTATGAGCATATCACTTGCAAAGTAAATAGGATGGTCTTTTCTTCGTTCATCTTGCTGCCCCAATACCACACCAATTGCAAATAAAGAGGTATCCACTTTTACATGGAACAAATCGCTTCCAGTTGGGCGGAACAAGGATCGAGGATATCATCAATTTTTGCTTCAGACGTTGAAAGATACCTTGGTGTTTGATCGTTCACTCAAACTCCACTTCCTGGGATCATTCTTTTAATGTCACCTGCTTCATCTGACTTGCTCCTTTGCCTTTCGACTGCCAGTGCGGATAATGAAATGGAGTTTGACGACAGAGTGAATGCTGTCGAAATAGCAACCCAGTTTCAAGAGAGTGCCAAGCAGGTTCTTGGTGATGTAGCTGATGCTACGGATGCTGTTAAGACACAGGTACTTCCCTCAGTCCCTGATCTAGTCTTATTACATCTATTTGGTTACTGAACAACAGTCCCTGTAACTTCATCTAACGAATGTAGCCTTCGATCTTTAATGGACTATTCTTCTCTTCCGGTTAGGGTAAGATGGACGTGCGTGCACGGTTAGTGAAATGTTTGAGTTCCTGCGTATTGACGTGAACGGAGTTCCCTGTGCTTTAACGTCGACTTATGGAGTAGGGTCCTGGTCGACTCGTTAGATTAGAATTACTAGTGGCTTTCATGGTTTCGAATTATGGGCCAATGGAACTTTGATATTGAGCACTGAGATTTATTCAGACGAAAAGAGTGATAAGCCATGATGAACTGCGTGCAGGTTGTTCTCGCCAGGGAGTATCTGAAAGACGTTACCATCAGTAAAGAGCAAATTAAGTACCTTGTCACAGAAGCAATAAGAGGCGGCGTCCAGGTATTCATAGCATCTGAGTATTTTGAAACATTATCCTCACGCATAAATCAGTCCCTGAACAGGCGCGCACTCTGAATGTGAATCGATTCCAATTTGGTTGTCCTTCTTGTGTAGGGTCATCGTGCAGAGCTGATGGCTGTCAGGGTAGCTAAAGCATTTGCTGCTCTGGAAGGACGTGAAAGAGTTGGAGTTGATGATCTGAAGAAGGCGGTGAGTTCTGATCTTCTTGTCTGTAACTATTTCAGCCAATGGAGTGTTTGCAGCAAGTGGATGCTGCTATGTTCTTAACCGGCCGCAAAACTGTCGCAATCACCTGCTATTTACTTGATTCTTAAGTTGAAGCTTCTTATACAAACTTCACACATCTGCTGGTGTACCTCTGTAGATACGGGGGCTCGTCAGTTGACGCCAAACCTTTGCTTTTCTTATTCGAGACTAACTCTCACACATTCGACATACTTCTGCTTCTGCATAGGTTGAGCTCGTCATTATTCCGAGGTCGATGGTCATGGACAGACCCCCAGATCAAGATAACAACCCTCCTCCTCCACCACCGCCCCCTCCTCCGCAAAACCAGGATCAAAATGAAGATCAGGAAGAAAAGGAAGAGGTATTTTGTTTACGTGTTCTGACTGGCTGTTTCGTGAGTCAGAAAGTAGCTCTTTTTGGGGTGACATCCTAAAGTGCCACAAAAAATCTCTGAGATTCTAGAGCTGATCCCTTTTGTACGGATCAACTCAGGAAGATGAAGATAAGGAGGATGAGGAAGATACCCAGGATGACGAGGAACAAGTTCCTGAGGAGTTTATATTCGATGCCGAAGGAGGAATGATGGACTCTCAACTGCTTTTCTTTGCTCAACAAGCTAATCGGAAGAAGGGCAAAGCTGGACGTGCCAAGAATGTCATTTTCTCTGAGGACAGAGGCCGCTACATCAAGCCCATGCTTCCCAAGGTATGTGTTCATATGCTTCCTGTCTCATCCTAGTTTTCCAGTTCATGGACATGACGAGACCGATTTCCTGTTGTGTACTTTCACACGAGAGGCGTGATAACCACAGTGAACGTCTTTTACAAAGACCACTAACAAAGTAGCTACAACTCCTACACTCTTCTACTTGAGAGTTCGCACTTCCCCGGTTAGTCCAGGGAGCAGTCGTAAGACAAATTTCAATACTGTGAGGCCAAATCTCTATTTAACGGATGTCCTAAAAGTTGGACAAAGTTGGCAGCTTTGTGCTTAAAATCACGGCTGGCTCATCTTACGCAACGTTAAGCCTTCGGATGCAATCTAGAAGGAGAATTCTTGTTTGATCGCTATGTTTTCTTAAATGCAGGGTCCAGTAAAGAGGTTAGCTGTGGATGCAACGTTGAGAGCAGCTGCACCTTTCCAGCGCTTGAGAAGACAAAAAGGAATTGATGAGGGTAGAGAAAGAAAGGTCTACGTCGAGCAAAGTGATATGAGAAGCAAGCGTATGGCTCGCAAGGCTGGAGCTCTGGTAATTATCTCCAACTCCTATTCAAAGCCTCTGACTAGGGCATTGTCTGCAAGCGATGGAGTATCGGAGTCAAGTTGAGGTCGTTTGTATGCCAACACGGCTGTGCTTGAACTTTTGTCGGCCGCTCTGGACATCTCGAGTGTATCTGTGGAGAATTCATCTCTTTTCTTTAGCAGTGAGCAAGGAGCTTAAAGAGCAGTGTATCATGCCTTCTAGCATCCCGCGTGTGAATGTGGCTATGGAGGTCAGTCTGTTTATCTTCCTGTTGGCAAATTTAAGAACAGTGTGGAAGGAAGCTTTCAAGAGCTAATCATGAACGAACTGCAGGTAATATTTGTTGTGGATGCAAGTGGAAGTATGGCCTTGAACCGCATGAACAACGCCAAGGGTGCAGCAATGCAACTCTTAGCTGACAGTTATACTAGTAGAGATCAGGTAAATCATTGTTCGTAACTCATCCGTTTGAATTAAGGGCGACTCCTTGATAGCTTTGAGTGCTGTGTTCTTACAAAAAATTAGAGCTCAGGTTTTTATCTTGCTCAAACGTCGAATGGTTTCGTGGCCGACATGTCGTTTGATATCTTGCCTTGTCAGGTTTCCATCATTCCCTTTAGAGGAGATGCCGCTGAGGTTCTGCTTCCACCCTCAAGATCTATTGCCATGGCGAGGAAGCGTTTGGATAGGCTACCTTGTGGTGGTGGTTCTCCTCTTGCACATGGACTGACCACGGTAATATTCAACAGCTCTGACCTCTATAGAGCTGCGCCGAAGTTTCATTTATTTCTCGAACAAACCGAGTTCTTACAACCGAAGTTTACAAAACCTTTACTTGTTTCTGTTTAACCTGCTGTTGTTTACGTAATTAATTCCACTGTTGTAGAGTCAATAAGGATTCAAGAAATTGGCATTACTGGGAGTTCTCGTTACTCATGAAGTTGGGATCTTTTGTAACAAAAACTAAGTTTTCTTGAGATAATTTCTGCATTGGCCATGAAATGTGTTACAAGCAATATGTTTTCAATTAAATACTTAGATCTTCCTTCATCTGTCTAGACTATCGGACTCCCAGGGACACACTCCAAAGCAGTCATGCTTGTTAAATCCACTGGGGCCATCCTATGAGTCCAGGGACATTATAAGGTTTTTCTATCCGTATATTAATCACCGCCTTCTCGCGCAGGCCGTTAGAGTAGGAATCAACGCTGAGAAGAGCGGAGATGTTGGACGAGTGATGATCGTTGCAATCACGGATGGAAGAGCAAACGTGTCACTAGCTAAATCGACCGGAGATGAGGAAGCTAACAAACCGGATGCACCACGACCTACTCAAAAGGAGTTGAAGGTTGTGATTTGTATTTCCTCTTGCATTTTAATTTCGTATCTGTCAACAGATTGTGTTTTGTGGCCTCTACTCTAAGTTTATCTAGCTACCAGCAGCTTTTCTTTGATGCCCTTTCAACTTTTGTACACATCTTCTTGCCCAGGCATGGAAAAAAGTTTCTTCTTTATCCTGTGCTGGTGCTTCACTTTCAATAAGGTTTGCGCTTTGTAATATTGATTACTCTTCTTATCTCTCTTCTGACTTGATTACGACTTCAAACGCAGGAAGAAATCTTGGATGTCGCTGGAAAGATCTACAAGCAAGGGATGTCGTTACTCGTGATCGATACGGAGAACAAGTTTATTTCCACCGGTTTTGCAAAAGAGATGGCGCGAGTTGCCCAAGGTGAGTGGTTATTTGCTCAGTTGCAGGCTTTATGCTGTTCATCCCTGCAGATTAAGAGAGAAGTCTTTCAGCAAGCTAGAGATGTCTGTCCAGTATTTCTGTTTCAAACGCAATTTTATCCCGACTGAGATGTTTGATTTCCGTATCGTCTGGAAGTACGTCTTATGTGGTCCTAGTCATGAGGAAGCACTAATTCTAGTGTATCGCAAATTCATTCTTTGAAGTTGGTTCCCAGTAAAATGTAGAACTTCTTAGAACTTCATCACTCACCAGGAGCTCAACGTTTTCATCAAACAACGGTTCGTTTGATGTCCATGCATTCCCTTCGCTTGAATTACTTAAAGCCTCCTTCAGAGCCTTCTCATTCGTTGTCTTTTTCAACACCATCAAAGAAGGTCGCTTGATGAGTTCTTTTATTGTCCTTCAGCCTCGAGGCTGCTTGTACATTCCAGACGCATAGGACGGTTTTTGAGGCTGTGTCTATGACTTCAGCAGTCGCCTCATACTACACCCACTTGTCGATAGTGGGCGTAGCATTGGCCTTGGATGTTCGAAACGTAGCCTTAGCTCCGCGGACTACAGTCGTACTTTGTTATGACCATCATGACGCGCAGGACTTGGTAGCATTTATTCACCTCTTATCGTGCCTAATGTTTTTCAGACCCTTGATCAAGTTCCTGTAGTCATTGTCTGAACCTACAGGAGCTTCACGTTTGATTCGTGGGTCGAATGTTTGAACATTTCCTTATCAAGACTAGCGTTAGTGCCGGTTGCTTCAGCTTCGCCAATCATCCTAGGCCTTGCTGGTCAAGGTCCAGAGTAGAGAACATTACGGCATGAGAAGTGCCGGATGATTTATCTCCAGCGGGTCAACTCACCTGAGGGTTCAAGGCGAGGCCTTGACAGGTCAGAGTTGATCCTCGTGAGCAGGAGACATGAGTGGTTGACTCGTTCCGCGTCTCTCTCTCAGTCTTTTCATCGTTCCTTACCTCTATATTTGGCAGCCTAAGGAAAGACCTTTTGGTTAGTGTTTGCTGCTTTTTTTTGGTCTCGATCGTACTGAAGCCAATATCATATTGGTACAGTCATCAGTCACCTCAAAGTACTGCTCAGAAGTTGTCCTGATATTCTGAAACGCTGAGCGATGCACCTTTAGCCTCTCGAGATCCATTCTCCCGCTTCGTTTACACCAGCTCATTTCCACCAGCGTCTGGAGAAAAGCTGTGGGTCCTAGGTTCCCATGGTGTACATCATGGCTGACTTCGTGGATTAGCCTTATTCGGCTTAGAGCTGATCGTCTAGGTGGGTAATCAACTCTGCCGAGTGACCTGGACTCGTAGATCTGAACAAAACATGCACAGGCTGCTGTGGTCCTCCGTCGCCATCTCTGTACTGAATCACATGCGAATTGAACTTCAGCAGCCTCACGAAACACTTGTGGGTCAAAGGCCCAACCTTTGTATATAGATCCGGGCAGAATGTGTTGTCTGGTGTTTTTGGCTTGTTCCGTCTTCCGGACCGTGCGACTGTATGAGGAGATTATCTAGTTCGAATATTTAGGGTCCCTGTTGTCGCTATCGTGCCTTTATCTTGACCTAGAAATAATACTGCATGTCCAAATCTCGGCTTGAAAAGATAAAATTTACTGGTCAATGCGCTCAAAATTGTACATATCTGGGCAGGACGGAAAAGTGCCTGATGTATTGGTCGGGCCCTTGATTGATTTGATGTGCAGGAAAGTACTACTACCTTCCGAATGCCTCAGATGCGGTGGTGTCGGCAGCCACAAAGGAGGCGCTCACTGCGTTGAAGAGTAGTTAGGTTTAGTGAAGGTGCTGCAGAAGTGAACATCATGGGCCACGTCTTCGGGCAGCTTCTGGGTTCCTGCTGTATCCAAGCAGAGTGTACCTTAGGCTCAGATACTCCATGGATGACGTCCCTCTTCTTCTTCCTTCCACTAACACATGTGGAAATAGCTACAATCTGAGGATAGTACTGGTAGCGTCGAGGGTTCGCCGTCACGCCTCCAGCTAAGGTGAAACCACTACAGTAGCAACAAAGCCAAGGTACATAGAGAGTGGTAGTGGTGCAACGGGAAGACATCGTTCTTATCAGTGGCTGGGTTGACCAGGTCAGTCATTCCCTCCTTCCCTTGTACCCGCAGCAGCAGCAGCAACAGAAGCGGAGGAGAAATAGATATGTAGAAAATAGTACTGCCTTGTTGAATGTATGAAACGAATAGATTGATTCAGTTCCATCCTATCCACTGTCCCATTCACATTGGACGTAACAACTTACTATTCATGAATTGGACCTTTTTATACCTGCGCTCTCTCTCTCTCTATTCTCTCTCTCTCTCACACACACATATTCGGAGCTGCTCTTCGTAGTAGCACATCTTGTGGTTAGCACGCAGCAAAAACAATTGTAGTTGCCCGCCGCTGGCCGAGCACATGTGACCCTGACGAGCCCTGGAGTATTTGTCCAACAAGAATGACATGGAGTGATTTCATTTTTCTTCAATCATATGGGAGACCCAGTCACACACTATAGACAACTTTGACTCTTGCAAAGGTGTGTGTGCACATGTTGACTCTGTGGCACATCACATCACGGTCGTACAGGGTTCACAGGCTCAATCTTCTCTGCGTACCCTCCTGTATTCTACACACCTCCCTGTATGGACGCGCGCCTGTGCACTTTACGCAATTCTGCCCCATAAAAAAATGGCTCCCCAGGTGGCTGGCACTAGTACCCGCGACGAAATGCCTCACTTCCACCCTCGGCCCCGAGATTCTATTTTCCTCGAAACTCCCCCGTCATGTGCGCCTCCATGCAGCTCGGCTAAATATGACTATCCTCGAACAGAATCCCCCTTCCTGCCAAATGTGGGCAAGCGCACTCCGCCTCCGTGCACGACGTTGCAGTCGACGACGGCTGCCCCCGCGCTCGTCTCCGCATCCGCTTGCCTGTTGCCTCTCTGCGGGCGATGCACGAGCCCGCGACACGTCGAGCTCAGCAGCAGCAGCTGCTGCACCATATTACCGTTATATTCCTGACCCCACAGGTCGATGCTTTCTGCCGAAAAGGCGATCTTGTGCGGCACCGAGTATGGGGACTGAGTGTGGATATTATCATGGTGTACGTGGATAATGGTACCACAGTTCTCAGAGCGATTAAATCGGCCGCTGGCCGTGGTTCTGTTCGGCCCGGCTGGCGTAGCGTAGCGCAGCATAGCCATAGCGCATATATCTTATATTTATATATTTATATAAATATATATAAATATGTAGCATGCGCTACGCTAGTCAAGGTAGTCCAGAGGCGAGCAGAGGCGAGGCCAGAGTCCAGAGCGAAGCTTAGGAGGGGAATATTGTTGGCACGAAGAGAATACAGTGGCGAAGAATCAAAGGACGAGAGGAGGGCCGCGAGTCAGATGGCGAGGGGCGACGACGAAATCCGGGCAATTTTTAAAGATTTTGCAGCGAGGGCGGAGTGGATTATGGACGGGATGGCAATGCGGAAAGTTGCCTAAAGTGTTGCTCTCGAGCAGCAACGGAAGTTGCAGAACGTGGCTTGTGCCCAATGGGAATCGCAGGTCATGGAGTCCAGGTCAAAGGATCGACATGTCATCCCCCATCCCCTCCCACCAGCTTTACCCCTCAGCGTTTCTCCCCTTAATCTATCCACTTGAAAGTCAAAAGAATATGTTCGGAACAATGCAAGTCCTGCATCGTCTCGACCAAGGCCCTCCCTCGCTCGCTCTCACGGTTCTCACGATTCACGGGCGAGTCCAATACGACATGAGGAGTTTGGACGCCCTGTGGTCAGCTGCAGCTGCAGCAGCAGCAGGAGTCATTCGAGAGCTGCTGCTCCTCAGTCCGGTCTGATGTCTTGCCCAGCATGTTATGCCATCCATGGTGAGCAGCACTGAGCACCCCATCATCGAGCTGGAAAGGGCTGCTGCATGACAAGCCTGCTGCATCGCTGTAGGGATCTACATGCTCGCTTCCCTTGACCACTTCTCGCACAGCGCACGCATTAAATTTGCATCCCTGTATGTCTAGATATACACTGTACTCGACAAATGAATACCGTTGTATATCACTAAACATTCATATGCACTCTGGAAATAGAAGTCCAAGGGGCTCGACAAGCCCCTGCCGATATTTCACTCAACGAAGCACGGTCTTGGCAGGCCCGCAATATTCAACGCCTTTTGACTCGTTCCTCAAGAGTGATTGATTTTCCGAGCTCCATTTACACCCTTCCCCTGCAAGCAAGCAAGCACGCAAGCAAGTGCTCGTGTACAATGGCTTCCTTCCCATTCTCCTATTTCTTGATGCACTTTATTCGACTCATTATTTTTTCCCATTTTCGATCCAAACTAACCCACGCACCTGGGGCCTGAAAGGCGAATTTCATGCTCCTGTGATATCTCGTTCGATCATTACTTCATTACCATACATACCTACGCGAGAAGTGCATGTCCCTGTGATGTATATGGGCCTTTCGTCGTCAAAACAACATTTTCGCATGAGGCCCAAGGTCTCCACAGTATTTCCGATCTGCGGTATCCCATCATCAATTTCCACTTCAAGTGGATGCGTGGACATGATGGAGTCGTAGGAACGAAGAAGTAGCTCCCTTAATGAAATATATGAAAAGTTCGAGGAATGGTATCTGACCACATTTGCAGTCCAGTCCGGTCCAGACTCTGGGCGGGAAAGCCCAGGCCAGGCCAGGCCAGGCCAGTCCAGTGCACTTGGGCTGGAGTTTGGCAGGACGGTATGAAGAGGAGAGGAGAGGAGAGGAGTGTGAGGAGGGCAAAGTGCAGCAGAGAGAGATGGGATGGTGAAGGGGATGAGAAGGGAAGGTAAGGGGAGGGGAGTGAAATGGAGTGGTGATTAGTAGGATTTCGTCTTTCACGAGGATGCATCATAGATTTGATGGGAATGACATCTGGCTGCTTACTCAATCGCTTTGACTGGTTCTCGGAAAGGGGAGGCTATGAATAGAAGGTAATGACGAAAGTCCGAATGCAAACAAGTGAGTGAATGTGGAGCATGGCTTGCTCACACTTCCAAATTCCCTTAAGAGCATACACCATATGATTGTGGTATAATATCTGGGCCGGGCACTCAAACCAGCTGATTGGAGTTCGAATTGTGGGGCATGTGAAGCGTATATGAAGATAAGTGTGCACTTTTGGTCTCGTGTAGAGAGGCCGCTTTTACCAGCGGCATACATGGAGCATGCTTTGTTGTGGCTTGAAATGTGGCCAGACAGACAACCATTCTTCCGAAAGTGGATTACACGAAGGACGATAAATCTCCCCCCTCCTGAGAGAGAGAGAGACAGACAGACACAGAGAGAGAGTTCGCCTTTTTACCACCAGCTACTACTACGAGGAGGACGACGACGACGACATTCAAAAGCACTCTTGCATCTGTGGGGGGGAGGGAGTGCTTTGCCCTCTGACCAGACAGGCTCACACGCAATCCACTTGACTGCTCTGGACAGTGGGGTATGCCGAGGACATGACTTATGATTTCATGTGCAAACAGCGCAGTGGATTTGCTGGGGGCATAATTTTCCTCTCGCATCTCGCTCGCACCTTCTTTTTCGAGCATAATCCACATGCTCCTCTGTGTCATGATCGATCCCCTCCCACTCCATCGCTGTCTTCTTCCCGGAAGCCGAGCTCTCCAAACGCCCGACCGCGTTCGACCCCCGGCACTCCACCGTCCGCCAGTCGCAGTCGTGGTTGCGGTCGCGGTCAAATGCGAGTCCCGTCTCGCCCCTTCGTTCCCCTCGTCGTTGGATCGATGGGCCAGCCGGCCATCGAGAGCCGAGGGGAACCAAGAGACGATGACGACCATGACCATGACCATAACCAGGGCCAACGAGCGAGGGAAACCAAGAGACGATGACCATGGCCGCGAGCGAACCTCAACCTCGTCGTCCTCGTCGTCCTCGTCCCATCGAGGCACTCGATTACTACTTACATGCGAGGAAGATGAAGATATTCGATCGAGAGAAAAGCGGAGGAGCATGTCACGTCATGTCATGTTCGGGGATCCCGTAGAAGGAAGGGAGGCAGGCAAGCAGGCAAGCAGGCAGGGAGTTGAAGGAGGAGGAGAAGAAAGGCAAAAGGCAAAAGAACAAATGCCATCGAGCGAGATATTGAAGTTGCGCAATCAAGCATCGAGCTGGAAAGGGGCCCATGACAATTCTGCCCTGCCGGTGGGTACCCCCTACTTCCCGATATATGACCTACATTCATGTTGTGTGCCAGGAGGCGAGTGAGTGTGCGTCGAGTGTGTATGTGCGTTCGTGTACTAGAAAGAAGAAGGCTCCGCCATGCTGATAACCTGTAAAGTTGTAATCGCGTCGTCGGCCCTCGAAAGGTTGGAGTAAAGTAACATTGAATGCGCAAAGAGGAATTTTGTTTGCTCGATGGGACGAGTCAACATTCAATCAAATCACCCCCTGCGCGCCTTAGATTCGTTTGTGGAAATTCTCTCCCTCTGCTATCTCTCCTAGTCTCCCCCCACAAGTCACAAATTATTGCACCACTAGCGCTGCCTGCCTAACCCTAAGCCTGTCTGCCCGACCGACCGACCGAGCTAAATTGGACGAACAACAAACAAACGCTGCCCTAAAAATCGATCCATGAACACCATTCCAAATCTAGTTCCATTCTCCATGAGAAGAGAACATTTTAGCACGGTTGTTGATGAGCGAACCCAATCCACCTCGTTCCACGATTAGCACTAGTCGACCGATGGACGACCTGCATATTTAGCCCATGTTCGATAACCCTCTATATATAAAGAATCACATAAATATCTCTCCCTCGAGCTCAAGAAGCTGAAAGATGCAGAAAAGATACCGAAGGGATTCTCGTGCCCGTCGGAATCCAGCACTCGGGTCTAAAATAGCTGCAACTCAGAGCTTTTTGACTGCTGTTGGTTCATGCAGGATGATCGGATTTTGCTGCGCTGCCGTGCCGAGCGCTGTTTGGCCTTCTAGAAGCGTGGAACCCACAGAGACGAGATAAGTCAAATTTACCGTCATTTCATGAGCATTTCGTCTGCATCGTGACGTGGGGCTGGAGAGCTAATGATTTGATGATGACCATCTATTCCTGCGAACTGGGCACGCACCTACTCTTCCCATCATTTGGGTTCGGATCGGGGTCGCGCGGTCAAAATCTTTTGACCCTTTCTTTCACCCCTCTTGTCCTTCCTCGCTTCCTTCGCTGCGGATGCGCGATTGTGGGCTCGAATGCGAGGCGAGTCCGACGGACGACCACGAATCGATCGTCAAGAGTCAACCACGCCCATGCCCATGCCTCCCTCCCTCCCCCCCTTCCCTGCGGGCTCAACGAGCTCGAGGCGTATTTGCGAGTGAGCGAGTGCTCAGCGTTGTGATGCGACTGCGAGGTGTTGACAGGGAGCGCGACCCTTGACATTTCTCGCGCTGCAGTAGGCCCCATTTGTGTCGGATCGGCCCATTATCTCGCGCATTTCCTATCTTACACAGGTCTTCGGAGGCTGTTCATCCTTCCCTTCCCTCACTAAACAAACCTTTGACTTCGACTCCCACCCGCCGCCATTGATCGCTGATCGCAGCACTGTCGTCTGCTCTCGTCGACCATCGCTTCTCGACAAAACCGCTTCTCACGCATTTCGCCTCCTCCTGCGCCAATTCGTGTGCATGTGCACGACCGACTCGCAGATCCGAGAGAGAGCCGGCCTATGGATGAAGGACTATGGATTCTTCATGCGATGCGAATTCGATGGGCCAAATCTTTCCATGAAATCCTTCGAAGCCATAAAGTTGAAACTAAGTGTTTCCTTTTGCTAATATTTCGAAAGCATTATTGTTCGAATCGCACCGTTGGATCGTGTCAAAATTGCTATTATTAGTAGTATGCTAAACAATGATTAGGAGAAATATATAGTTCAAAGCATTGTGGTGCATCGTAAATCATTGGTGCAACACAATTTGTGATTGCTATCAAATTTTATTGAAATTAATTATTTAATGGGTATCTAGAGTCTACTTTAGAGATTTTATTGAATGAAAATCCTTCAATTTCAAAGATATCAACTCAATGCTTTGGATGTGGTGATTATTGATGTACAAAGCATTTTTATTGATACTCAATTTGATAACAATCACAAATTGTGGTGCACCAATGATTGTGATGATTATTATGTCACATACAAAGCATTGAATTGATATCTTTGAAATTGAAGTTTATTCATTCAGTAACTCTAGACCTAGTTAAAAGATAATTTCTATAAAATTTGATAGCAATCACAAATTCGAGATTTTCAAAATTTATGATTTTGATGAATATCATGTTTCACAACATGATATTGCTCTCTTTGTTAACAATGTTACAATTTTGACCAATAAGCAAATGTTGTGTTATTTGTAGAAGATAACATTGTGATGACAAACTATGCATAAGCAGTGTTAATGAAAAATACGCTACAAATCTCATGTTCCAAAACATCTTGAATAACAACTCATTTTTGAAATATTTTTCTATAAAATAAATAATCAACAAATTTTTAAATGAAATTATAAAAAAATTATATTTCAAATAATTAATCTGATTATCGAATTTTGAGATGGTTTGAAAATTTGTTACAATCAGCTGCAACAATATTATTATAAAAATATTTATTTGTATCAATAAAAAATATATTTGAAATTTTACTTGATTATTTTTATAAATATTATTTTCTATTTTCATTATTGATTTATCAAATAAAAAATAAAATAAATTTGTTTATGATTTTATCACACTTTAAATAATTAATTAGTAATCATTGTTAGTGAAAACTTGGATTTTAAACATATCTGAATTTGTTTGAACATAGTAAATGATCTATAAAATTGTCTCTGGCTGCATATGATTATGTTAAATTATCCTGCAAGAATTTGCACTCTTTTGATTTTTGCATATACCTTCTTGCATGTTTGCAAATAAAATTTTATTCATCAATTAGTAAAAACATCAGTTATTATCAATAATTAGTCAGTAAGTAGGTACTAAGGCTTTAGCAAATTTTGGCATAAAGTATAATAATAAAAATAACATATAACACAATAAATTTCTATTTACATTTTTTATTTAGAAGTTTATATTTTCTATTAAACATAGTATAATCAAACATATAGTCAAATATATACCTTACTATTATTCATAAGCTTTGTCTATATTATAAAACTTTATAAACACACATACTCAAATCTAAAAATCTCTGATGTGAAGATATAGCTCAATGATGTCAATTGGTACGTCACACTCTCTACATACATCTACGTCCTTCATATTTTAGCATGTGCTCTTAATAAACTGCATACATTGTATCAAAATCTAAACTTCATTTGATCAAAGATTTTGTCTTCCAGCTCTACTCCCTTGAACTCCATTGCAGCTTTAATATTCTTCTCCAGTCTCAATGCTATGTTTGTTCCCTCATCCTTTTTCATCAAGTATCTTGTTGTATGACGAGCTGGAAGAATTCCATAAGGTCTGACACGTTGTTTGGCTAAAACTATTCGTATCAAGATGTTATTGTTACTCAGCTATTTCTCTAAGACAACGAATGATTAGGTGAAAATGCAAAATGCATAATGAAGAAGTATATTGAAGAAGAATAGAAAATAACAAGAAATCTAGATAATGTGAATCTCTTCTTGGCTCCTCGGCTCCTCGGCCTAGTCCAAATATTTCAACATTGTGATGATGGAACATAATCGCACATATCTTATAGTTTGGCCGAACCTGACTCGTAATGTTTTGGTTGCTGGGCATGTGCCGACTTCATGTGTACACCGTCGAGTGTGGTATCCCATGCTGGCCTTGGGTTTGAACCATGAGGTCCATAATAGTTGGGTAGAAACCCACGCAATTGTATGCTCGAATTAGAGCAAATCCCGTTATAGATCGTGAGCGAGGGTTCATTGGAGAGAAGCAAATCGGAGCAAGTCCATCAGTCGTCCAGAACACGGAGCATATCTAGCAGGTCACAGTTCTCGTAACCCTCTCTCTGTTGGCTCAAAATAGGCGCATCGATTCGTTAGACGCTCGCCAAGGAATCTTTGGAACCAGATATAGACCGATTTAGACAACGGGGTACCCTCGACTGGCCTGGCCGGTCATCTCTTCGGCATCTTCGCGCTTTGACAAGTCAAGGAAAGACGTTGCGCCAGGACGCGGACCGCGAACATTCCGAAAGCGAGTCTAGGAGAATCCGATGCACCCTAATAATCTAAGAAGACCCCCCCTATATAATCTAATCTCCGCGTCAATCAAAGTCGACCGGTAACCTTTAAATATAGGATAAATGAAAATACAAAAATATAAAAATGATTATTCAAAGCTCACCCGTTTACTCCGGTTAACGTCCTCCAAGTCAAAACGGGGCCGCGGACTGGAGCGTGTACGGAGGGTATGAACGTAGTCGGTCGAAGTGGGGTTTGAATGTGACCGGTGCTAAGAACGTTGACGCGCGAAGGAATTAGAGAAAATGAAATTAGGTTACGAGATTTCGTCGAGGTCCTGTCGTGAACTGCTTCGATACGGAGCCCGTGACTGCAAATGCGCAGGAAAATGGTCGTCATCGAGTAAAGTAAAGAATCAATGGATGGGGACATCGAGAGGCGGCTGTGAAATCTGCCCGAGTCTGGTAATTGGGATGCGTCTGAAATTGCAGGTGAACTGCCGATCGCTATGCCACATGGAGTTCTACTGGAACCTCGGTGTGCTTCTAAATTGACAGGAAGTTGCGAATAGGTGCCCGGATTCTTGGTCGTACGAACTCAGCAGTGGCGAGCAAGTTGCGCAAGGAAGAAAGATAGAGTCGGCCGGCGTACATTTTATGTACGCGAGCGAACTGTATGTTTTCTTTCACTATGGACCGGATGGTGTGATCTCTGTAGCATGTTTGTTTGGATCATTGGGCGTCTTTTTGGGCTGGAACATATATGGACAGAAGGGCAGGCGAGTGACGTCACATTGCCGGGCATTCAATCAATGAGCCTCGTGGAAGTGAAGAGTTGACAGTGGAGTCCGAGAAAGGAAGAGTTTAGAACAATCGGTTAACTGATTCCCTATGGACTCGCCATGCCTGCTCCACTGCGTCCTGTCTGTCCTGGGCAGGAAGCACAAGGCGCGGAGGGCAAATAGACCAGACGGACGCACGTGAAAGTGAAATCCCGGGCATTCAACAACTCCTCCAGAACTCCTCCAAAGCAGCATGGATTGCTGTTGTGGCGCGAGGAACTTGATGGGCGATGGATAGATAGATAGCTGTGCAGTGAGCCAGCGAGGGCCGAGTCGTTTGTCCGTCGCCAAAGAAAGGAAGCGGGCATCCATGCCTGCCAGCCAGCACCCCAGTATCTTTGTCCTCCGAAACATTCCTAATTTAGGCCGAGGAGTGGGGAACGGCCAGCGGCAAATAGGCATGTGTTGTTCATCTGAGCTTCGTGCCGTTGTGTGTCCAAATCGGAAAGAATCCTCCGCTGGCCCGGAAGGGAACCTTCACTAGAATTCCGAAGCCACACACAATTGATAAGACAAGACAGCCACGGGATGAGAGTCGTCCATGCAGAGCTCCTCCAGGTCTGAACCAAAAGCCAGGGTGTCACATTTCCATCACATGACGAAGGTAGGGTCACATCTCGATTCTCGATGGCGAATAGAAGTTTTTCTCCTCCTTCGTGACAATCCTGCTGCGGAGTGGACGTGGTTGTGTCGACAACTGCTTTCCCAAGAAATCAAGAACAAAGAGAATCTACCCAAGCCAATGTTACCGGACTTCCACCACATCCTCTCAACCCTCCTCCATGTGAAGGTCCACGTGAAATTAGGAATTTGCTCGGAGGGCTTGTGATGTCAAGGTCAATGCAGTGAATCGCGTAATGAGCGATGGAAAGTCAAAGTTACCGCTAATTCAGAAGGAGCAACGACGCCTAGCACCTTAATGGCGATGTGGGTGAAGTTGTAGTAACATGACGGTGAAGAGGAAAGAAATGCCATGCGAACGAGCTTGCCAACCTGTTGATGCTGAGGAAAAAGAAAAAAGATGGTGGTACAGTTGAGTCAAACTCACTGTCTCTGGCTACAGACGTTGACAAGTATCCAAATCCGGCCCTGAATAAGAATTCTCTCAAGAATGATCCGCAGGTAAATAGAAAAGATCCCTGGAGAGGCGGGCAAGCAAGCCGCATCTATTTGCTATCCACATACAAGAAACAAATCTTCGAACGCAGTAGAAAAGGCGTCTCTCAATCATCGAGCTGGAAAGGATATGCACAAACGGTGTGGAGTGGTGGGCGCATTCGACACCGGATACATGTCCGAGAAGCACCAGGTCATCGTGGTGAGGGCTCCTGTGGTTTGGCGTCAATAAGAAGACGTGCGTAGTCCACATGAGTGAATGTGAAACATGTTGGAAACGGGAGTAGAGACCAAATTGTCACTACTCTCGGCACGGGATGGAGGTTCGGGCCCTGCGTCCGTTCTCAAAACATTGCCATGGCCACCCTACATCTTCAAAAAGCACACACATACAAGGGGGTACTCTAAAGGGGGGGTGCGTAAATCTAGGGTGCGACTCGAAGAAAAACCTGTGGCGATGAACTAGCAATTAGGGTCGAAAAGCTCAAAGGCAACCCTTGACACTTCAAACTTCCCAACCGCGTGTTCGCCAAAAGTGTTCCACACCTCCCGAAGGAGTAGAAACTATGGCCGCATTCTTCACGAAGTTTGGTTGGACTCGTAGGCGGGGAGCGAGTGCTCCCTCACTCTTCCGTCTCGTCATATCCGTCCCACGAGAATTCGGAAACGGCTTATTGTACTTACGTTACCTAAACGCGGAAAGGAGACCTTTTCCTCCCTTATTCTCGTGCAGCGAAAGATGAGCGTCGACGAACATGACGGCCGTAAAAAAGTGATATCGATTTTTATAATAAAAAATATTCGACGGAGAATGGGGGGGTGGGGCTTTCCCAGATGCATCACATTTGTGAACCGCTGGCGTTCTTGGAGAAGAGAGGGATAATGAGGTATCGATCGAATCCCTCGAGCGATGCCTCGAGGTAAACATTTGAATATTTGTCTTAGCGCGTCGGCCTCCACGTTTGTTTCGTCGAGCTCGGATTCACTCGGCAAGTACTAGGCATGGTGTTGAGTAGCGTCCTACGAGAAAGGAATGACATATTTTGCATGATGTTCATGAGTAGGAATGATGTCTTTGGCAATTACGGGCCAATGAGGCCCGAGTAACGGTTTTCTCCCCGATGTAACCCACGAGGGCGGAATTCGCCACTCGAATGTTCTATGGAAGCACTTTGTATGAGGGAGGGAGTTAGCCATGGCAAGAATCTCTACATAACGGTTGTAGGTAATGCAGTAGGTTGACAGATGGAGGATGATGTCTCCCCCTCTCGCTCGCACTCTGCCATGGTCTTTCCATCTTCCATCTATCTTCCCATCGTTCTTGGACAGATCGAAATCTTGTCCAGTTTGGAAAATTTAAGAGGCATTAGAAAACAAACGCTTGTCTAGAAAAGCTCGAACAGTGGGTCAGGCAGTACTGCTGTTTGCCTGCTGCGCTGCTTTCATTGAAGTACTCCGAAGCAAAGACTCCAACAAGATCTCTCATTCTATAATCCTCTTGGAACGGAAGATGGTGGAGAATGTTATGGCTGTCCGGTCCATGCGTGAGAAGGTGTCTCATCTGTGGTCATTCTTGCCATCATGCTGGAGACCATTGGCGCAGATGTGTTCAGCCATCTATCATCACTCTTAATTTGCCCACATCTTGGAGTACCGGAGGAGAGAAGATTTGTCTGTGGGTGCGTAAAGAAGAGTAATGAGAAGAGAAGACAAGAAGAGTGGGCACTGGCCTAGAATCTCGTGAGACTTTCTTCGAAGTGAAGACACGGAACGTTCTCCGAACAAAAGACCTGTTCCTTGGTACTTGAAAAGAATCGCTGGACGGAGTGATGCATTTGAATATTCGCCATTAAAGAACTTGGAAGGTCGGACGCATGAACGATGAGCCGAGAGAACGCTTAAGGTTCATTTGTACTGTACTTGGACGAAAGAAAGGAAGCTAGAGGGGATGGAGTCGAATGCTCATCATCGAGCTCTGGAAAAGGATGGACATACGAAAAAAAAATATTCAAACGATTGTGGTGGGAGCACGCATCTAACTTCTTCTTCTTCTTGTTGTGGTGGTGTTCTACTGGATTTGCTAATCTACGCAAGAAAGTGCACTGCTTTTCAAAGGCATGCCAATACATCCTCCCCCAGGGTGGGGACCTGGCGATGCTTTCTGGGGTAGTTAGACTGTAACATGTCCCTCTGCTGGACTACCAGCTTCGATCTGAAGCAAATGGTTTGTCCCACGCTTTCCACTTCCCGTCTAGACTGGTGTCCAGATCCGAAAAGGCTCTCAGACATGTCCAAAATCCATGACATAATCACTTAGCCTCCTCATTCCTTCGTAGAAAGCCCCGGCAGATGGTCGACTCCTACTGGATCCCCAAAGTAGCTCATGCATGTCCAAGGTCTGTGACATAATCAAATCGAGATAGAAGCGCGACTGGTTCCCAATCTCGCTCGTCCCTTGGCTCATCAAATCCGTCGCTCGGAATCCATGTTTGGAATGGGGGCGGGGCTGGGTCGTCGATCGAATGTTTTGACGAGTTCAAAATTTCAAACTTAGAAAAGAGGTAGACGAGATGAATGGACCGAGAGCCATCCGTCCATTCATTCGTTCGTCCATCGACGACCGAATGTCTCATGAAGCCGTGTAGGCCAATTCGGACCATGGAGGCCCTGCTCTTTATCACTACGAGTGGCCTACATCTACCGAAAAGGCAAAAGGCATAAAAGAAAAACTAGTCATCTACATTCTTCTAAATGCGGTTTGGGGCCTTGTTTTCCTCTCGTGGACCCACAGTCGAAATCCGGCCCTCCATCGGATCTCGCTCACAAACCGCAACAAACAGCGAGAGAAGAGAATGAGAAGCCCTAGAGCGCAATTCAAGGGATGGGAGGGTTGAGGCGAGGGAGACGGTACTTTTTGTCAAAGAGTTCGGGGACTCGGGAACCCTCTGATTAGACTTTCTCTCTATCCATCCATATGATTGATTGATGCAAAAGCCACCCCTTTGAAAATGTCATAGCATGCATCACGTAGTGAGTGGTAGGAACCACCCATTCGCCAATAGCATGTCCGGGCGAGCTCCCATTGTCCTCACGTCGGGGGGCTGGGGAGAAATATTTCCTAATGTTCTTCGCTTGTGCATGGGATGGGTCTTCGAATTGCAGTCTTGCTTGAGGGAAGTATGAGAGCGGTGGGGCTAGTGGTCAAGACTGATAGATTTACGCATACATACGACAGCAAGGACGAGTGTATACGAACGGATCGAGCGAGATTGTTGTGAGGAGGAACTACTGCGTCTTTTTCTTGATGACTGCCTGCCTGGAAGCAAACACTACGGAAACAAGACTCATGTTCCATGGGATCATGTGCCTAAGAGCATCTAGGACTTCTTTTCGTTGAGGACGTCGTGTGTACATCAGCTTAAGCATCGGATTTATGCTCTTTCAGTGGTGAGATTCGCCTCCACTCTCTCCTCCCCAATTGAATATTAATGCCTTGGATATTATTTACACACTCCGGTACTCGAGGCTCGTGATTATTTACACTCGGCTTATCCTCAAAGGGGCCATTCCTAGCCTTTAACAGCATGATGCACCGAGAGGCGAGTTAAGGTGAAGAATCTGGACCTGGGATTGATGCTTAGCGCACTCCTAACCCATGTATTGCCCTGTTTATTATACTCACAGCTCCGGACTCCATGTTATGGCGACCGTGGATCAAGGGGGTTTAGGATGAAACGCCTGTACAAAAGCTTCAGGATAACATTGTCTTAATCTCGAAGGGAATAAAAAAAGTGAGACTTCGAGTTCATCGTTCTGTGCAGGTCACTGAGGTAGATGACCAAGTTATGCACTATCCTTCCTTTATGATCGGAGATGGGGCTCTTCGTGGTTCAGCTGGAATATGATACCATAGAAATCCAGACATACCATAATATATGCGCCACGAGAATATTTCTTCACAACTTAAAAATGACGGCCTGACTTGGGCGAGGCAAGTACGGTTTGGACAAGTGCGGTGTTTGGGTTTTGTCATCCATGTGAGCAAGCTCACATGACACTCCAAAAGTTTTCCCCGAGCCGTGCAGGAGTACTTTCTTGTATGGGTCAAATGGCACTAACAAATAGCAGAGCGAGTAACATTTCAGCTTTAGCATGTTGCTAAGGGGGGAAAAGAGGGGAGCTAAACCTGAGACTTCAAAGAGTCCACGTTTGAATTTTGGACCACCATCTTGCCCTTGGTAGCAGTACCGAAACTGCTGTTGCTGCTGCTGCTGCAGATTGCCCTGGCAGAAGGAGATATAGATGAAAGAAGGAGGTCAGCCCAGAGGGCTTTATATGTGTTACACGCCATGGCGTGGAAAGGAGGCGAGTTATACTAGTGATTCAGGGAAGGTGCTTCCTACACCGATGCCATGTATATCTATCTAGCCGGACCTTTCCCGAGAGCTAAGGGAAGGGAGGCCAGGGGAGTGGTCAGGAGTATTTGTCGACCCCACCTGGACAACGACGTTACTAAAAAATATGTGGGCTTGGAGATGTGAGGGCCCATTCGAGTATTCTGCGTCTCATCTTTCATATACAAGTTGTTGATCATTCGTACCAGCTTTTACAACTCGTTCTTTGAGACGTTCCCATCCACGTCCCCGTGCTCTCTCGTTCTCGCTGGCTCATCGCTCCCTTTTCGGTTCACTCATGCTGCAGCGGCTGCTACGACGACGACGACTACTACTGCTGCTGCTGGCTGCTGGCTGCTGGCATACTAAGAGCTGATCGACTTCACTTCACCGACTCAAAAAAGATATGACATGATGCATGTATCTCCAAAGTCCAGCATCAGCAGCAGCAGAAGCTCTACGGTGGTGAGATTGAGAAGTAGACATGAGAGAAGGAACGATGGAAGCAAGGGAAAGGGAGCCGGGGAGCCATAGCCATAGAGGGAGGACACAAATCACAAGTGGAGGGAACTAAACCACAAGTCCGCTCCATGGCAATCAATCCCGTCAACAAGAACCCTTTAGGCCTTGAAGGTCGGCCCTAGTCTGGAAACTGCTACTGCTGCTGCTCATGCTCATGCTCCAAGTCTAGGAATCTGTTGGTGGAATCATAGGTGAGCTGACTCGCAACCGGGTCCTGCATAGACACCGCAGCAGCCAGCCAGCCAGCCAGCATGTGCTAGACTTCAGAGATCTAAGTCTGAGCTCATTAACTCCATCTTGAACTCTGGGACAATGAGGCTCCCGGCTGGCCTCGCCTTGCAAAAGAGCGAGCCCGAGCGAGCGAGCGAACGAGCGCGCGAGCGAGCGAGGCGGGGAATGATAAAGGAATTCAAGCGATCCGTCCAGCTTGCACCACTACTCCTCGTCCTCGTCCGCTCACATTACCTCGCCACTTCTATGAGTTGGCATCCCACTTTTCGCAATGTCGTCTTGTGATGAATTCCCTTTTGCCCCCGCGCCTCCCCCTCCTAAGTCCGCCTAGGTCATGAAGACCCCCGCTCCCTAGGCCCCCAGCCCCCTCCTCCCCCCTCCTGCTCGTACATGAATTTATTTACCCCCCGCTTTTGTACCGACCGCGGTTGGTTTTGAACTGCCTGTCCCTCACCCAAATGCGCTCGGAAAGCGGCCCGGCTTTGAACGGGCGACGCCCGCCCGCCCGCCCGCTCGCTCCCAACGTGCTGCCATTTAACGTACTCCCCTGGCTTTTGCCCCCGCCCCCCTTTTGGGTGGTGTTTTACACTACACTACGCTACATCCCCCATCCCCAGCCCCAGCCCCATCCCCCCGTCCCGTCCCGTCCTGGGCTAGGGGCAACAGTTGCCCCGAATGGCCAGGGGGCACCCCGCAGTCAAAGTTAATGTCTCGAGAGATTCTGCTGCTGCTGCCGGGACGCAAAATGAATTTGCTGCTGGGCGTCGTAGTAACATCTGTTCGGATGTTATGGATGCATGGGCGAGAGAGAGAGAGAGAGATTGAGAGAGCGAGTGGGGCCGTCTTGTCGATGGATGGATGGATGGAGTGCTTGATCGATGGAGCGATTGATTCGTTGGTTTGTTGGTCGCCTGATCCAATGGAATGGTGCTGGGCAGAGAGGATTGCTGGAGTGCATTTGGACTAGTAGTAGGGGGGAGGGGGAATCCGCAGGAGAATCCTCCTGGAGGCCTGAAGGCCTGAAGCCCGGAGCGTCTTTGGGGCTGGAAGGCATAATAGACGACGACGACGACGCACAGGGATGGACAGGGAAGCACCTGTTGGGCTTCGGTTGGTGGTAATAGGAAGCCACCGGTTGGGGAGACAGCATCAAACCATGTCTTGAGGGGGCAAAGGGTCTTCTTAACACACAACAACAACAACAACAAACTTAACATCGCGTGATTAGCCCAGCCCCCAGCCCCCAGCCAGCCCCCAGCCAGGCCCGCCCCGCCCCGCCCCGCCCAGGCACCAGGAAATGGAACATGTGGGTGTCTTGTCTTGAATCTGGCGGGCAACTTCCGGGCAATGGTGGCAGCAAGAAGCTCCACTCATTAGGCATTATTACGCGCTCCGTGCGTACAAGCACCCGAAGGACGAGTTGGGCTTCGGAGGATTAAGAGCCAGAGCGAACCTAATGGACTGAGTCACTCCGCACGCTAATAAAGTCGCCGGTACCCAAATCTGCCATGCTCATAAGTGGATCTTTGGCTGGTTCGCTGGCTCGCTAGCTCCTCGCTGTCCGTCTGCTGAGCTCTAGGGAGGTGGTACTCCATCCTCCATTACAGCCGTGTACCGGGGCCTGCCCCAGAGCGGCAGAGAAAGATCGGGAGCGAGCGAGCGAGCGAGCGAGGGAAGGTTGGGGTTAGGAAGAGCACGCACGAGACGAACATTTGACGTTTCGGAATCCAAAGATAAATCGAGTGCAGTACAGTGGTACTGGATTGGAGCAAGCGGAGCGTCCCAACCCTATAATGGTGAGTTGTGTAGATGGGGCTCGTCGTCATAACATGAGTGAGTGGCGTGCATGATCAACGTGATTACTTTACAATTTGTGGTAACCCGGACGCTGCAAGAGCAAGACGAGGAGGACGGGGGCGAGTGCGGTATCATGTCGCTCTTGGAGGGTGTCGCAGGTAATGGTAAAGGCGGCCGGGCCAATCTGCAAGGCTGTGGAAAGTAGTGACATAGGCCCTGACCCAAGCATATTTCGTTAGCGACACTTCTAAATGCTGCTAGCTGTCGATTCGGATCATGCGGTGCCCAGATACTCCTCCAATTCCAGGCCCTCGTCGCTACGGCGACCCATCGCAGCGACGCACATGCTCGCCACAGGATGCGCGACGATGCATCCGTACCAGGCGTATATCTATATGCATAAATAATTCCGCCATTGACACCGAACTCGCCCCCATATGCCTCGCCATCCGCCACCATGCAGATTGGCGAGATTAAAATACAAATCCAGGACCATGCAGATTGGTTGGTAGTGCCTCGCCGGCTCTGAGGCGCGGGTTTAATACTGCAAGACCATGTTCGAGGTGCGCATCCTCTCGCGCTCGAGATAAGATCATGTGGTCGGAAGGAGAAAGGAATGTGTGAGGCTTCCAGGGCCTCGAGCGCGAGCCAGATTACTTTCAATTGCAAAAAATCGATTCTTAATTCGAAACTACATATTCCCAAGTTTTGTCTCGTCATAGCGCCTCATAGATGTATAGCATAGATCCTTGCTGGCCGTGCTCATCTACCGTAGTCTCTGCCTCTGCGGCCATGTACGCACGAGAGGCGAAGACTCGCAACTTTTGGATCGGGGCTGGGTTGGGTTTTGTCACGAGTCAACCTATGGACGACTTTCGGCGTCCCAAAGGGGACTGCCCGCCACTTTCTATGGCTCTGTTCTGGTCCCTTCTGTTCTGTTCTGTTGTGCTCTGCTCTGCTCTGGTCTGTTGTGTGTGCTGGTGTGTGCGTCTGCGAGAGAACAACGCAACGCTAGGCTCTATGCATGCCTGGTTGTTATGATTATGAGGCTTGCAGGCTAAACACGCTTACGAACTAGAATGGCGTGTGAGACGGAGAGATGGACAACGGGAGAGGGACGAGTGGAGGCAGGAATGAATCGTACTGGAGTGTACTAAACTTTCTAAACTTTACTAGGAACAACAACAGTCTCGAGAGCATAGCGACCAATGCACACACACACACTCACACACACCCACACACACACACGCTCGATTCGAGCAGCGGGATGCTTTTTGCGAAATCTGCATCTGAAATCGATGCTAGATCTTTTGGCCGAAAGTCGCCTCTAAGTACAACAAAGGTGCGATAGCTCTGGCGGCCTCCGGCGAAGTAAGCCAACGCACACATGATGTTCATGCGTGGCGGAAGCACGTCGATCAAGAAATACTACGAGCCGAGCAGAGCAGAGCTACGGCGGTCGAGTATCAAATCATGGCCTCGTCCGCGCATTGCGAAATGGACGGAAGCCCCGCGATCCCGAATCGGCCAAAGCGCGATTTTTCCCCCTCGGCCGACTCAGAGGGTCGACTCCGAGTCCCGAAGATCGAAGATCGGTCAGAGCCGATCCCCGAAAATGTGTGTCCAAACGAAAAAAGTCGACTCGCAACTTTCTTCGATCGGCCCTGAGCGCAGTGTCGACTCCAGGTCCCGAAGGAACGCGGCCGTGCCTGCCAGCGGACATCGCCATCGTTGGCCCCTGCCACTTCACTGTGCACGGCCGTCGTATGCGCAGCGATGTCGGGGGGACTCGAGCCCCCTGAGCAAGGAAGCGCGCGAACTGCAGCAGGGGCTGAGAAGCCCCGCCCCAGTGAGTGCTAGATCGAGCGATCGGGGCCAGACGGCCGGACGGACCGATGGATGGATGGATGTATAGACGGACGGAAAGAAAGGACGGAAGGAAGGGCGGTAAACTGCTGTACACTGTACACGAGTGCCTCCCCCGTCACACTACAGGCAATACGCCAGCAGCCGCGCTGGCACTCTGGCACATGTCCATTACGAGAGCTCCTCTTGCAGCATTTTTATGTAACGTATCCCCTCGCCCCATGAAAAATATTGATCTCGTCCAGCCGCGCCTGCGCCAGCGCCAGCCCCAGCCCCAGCGCCAGCAGCGGGCGGGCTTGCAAACCCCGGGGGGGAGCGCTTTTCTTCCTCGGGGGGTGGGGGAAAGTCGGCTGGAGCACGACTCCCGATCGCCGGTGGCCGGTTGCCGGTGGCGAGAGGGCAGCGAATGCCGGTGGACGGAGGAGAGAGGACTCTCGACAAGACAACCCGGTGACGCCTCTCGGCCAGCTGGCAGAATGTGTCAGCGGCCAGCGCAGCACGGCGCGTGTGCTGGGCTCGGGAGGGAGAGGGAGCGAGGAATCTTGGATGTGCGGGAGGGAGGCCAGCGGGACCGGAAGGCAGTCGACCCTCTATAACTGCAAGCCCCTACAAGAGTTAAAATGTGATCATGCCCCGGAGTTAACCCAATGATTCACGACTACGCCGCTCCTCGTAGCCCGAATTATTGCACAGATATGCGTAACCGGTCGACCCGGGCCACCGTTTTGACCGCACCGCGGACATGTCGAGGGCTCAACATCGCATGAAATTCGAAGGTTAGGGTACGCCATTATAGTGGCAGTACCAGGCTACGGAGTGGGGCTGGGGCTCTCGGTCCTAAGAGGGGGCATGGCGATTTGTACGAGTATTATTTTAGGGGGGGTGGGGGTGTGCACTTATGGAGGGGGCACTTATGCAGGGCCGACTGCGGGGGAAGTAGCTGTTGATGAGCCGAGGTGGCAAGCCAGCGAGCGAGGTGGAAGGGGGAAATTAGACGGAACCGACAGGTGTGGCAGACAGGCTGCAGCGTGGTGATTGAAAACGAACTAAAATAGCTGTTGGCGACTGACCGACTAAGCGATGGCACGGCGTGGGGGGCACTGGATGAGACCGGGGGGTGAGGAGGGGTAAATATTTGGCAAATATCCGCTGGACCCGGGGGCCGGGGGAGCGGACCGTTGACGGAACAGTCCCGCGACGGGGCCCGGGCCCGGGAAAGGTAGCGGAGCCGAACGGAAAGTGAGGGAGGTCCGAGGCTTGGTAAAGCGACCGGATGGTGCGAGCACATGATGCGCGCAGGGGCTCTTGCCACGCGGCGCCCCTCCAGTGGCCCTCAGTGCGCGCCAGGTGCGGCTAGCTTGGTCGAGACATCAGTGCTGCTGAACACGCCATTAACGCTACCATTGCCCCCCCCTTCCCTTCCCTTCCCCCCCTTCCCCTTCCTTGGTTTCGGGCTTGCTTTTCCACCCGGCAGCAACAACTCTCTCTCCCCCCCTTCTCTCTCTCTCTCTCTCTCTTGTTGTTGGGCAAACAGAGGGCCTCTGTAGACCGGTCAGAGGGGGGCTGCTGCGCAGCAGTGCCGAGCAGAGCGAGAACTCTGATGACCAGATGGATAGGCAGGCAGCAGCATGGCTGGCTGGCTCGATGGATGGATGGATGGATGGAATGATGGACTGGCGGATGGGAAAATGGTCAGATGGGCAGCGAGCACGGGCGCAGCAATTTCGAGCGAAAAGCGGGTCGAGTTGACGGGACATGATAGAGAGTTGACGAAGGGCCCGAAGCGATGGAGTTCGCAGGTGGATTAAAAAAATTGGCGACGCCGAGTGAAAAAAACCTGGACGCCAGCGAGTGAGTCAGGGGGAGATGGTTCGCTCTTGCAATGTTTGTTTGTTTGTTTGTGGCATGGGAGATGGGAGAGGGGCGACTGTGGTGTCTTCAGTTGTCTTGAACCTCGTCCCTTCCACTGCGTGCCTGCCTGCGAGCGAGAGAGCAGAGTCCTGTATGGCTGCAGCATTGGCGCACGCTCAGGCCATGCCAAATGCCAAAGCATAGAGGCAGGGAGGGAGGGAGCGATCGGTTAATGGCGCTCGCATTTGCTTGTAATTGCTGCTCCACCACCACGGGGTAGCTGGGCTGGGTGGCCGACACCCTCACTGCCCCGCATGACGCGCCCATGACGTGCGCAGTATGGCCTGTCAACGAGGGGCTCGCTCTCCCCACATCGCCCCCCGGGGGCAACCCTGCCCCCGGGCTACTCAACCCCCTCCCTCCCCCCGACGTGGACGACGATTCTTTTACCTCCCATCCATCGCTCATTCACCTCTCCCCCCATTCCCCTCCCTTCCCCATTCTCGGCTAGCCCTTCATTAACTCATCTCGACTTTCTTTCATTGCGCCACTCGCTCTCCCGTCCTCCCTTCCACCGGATCCAGCCCCAGCCCCAGCCCCAAGCCAAGCCCCAGTCCCAGTCCCAGTCCCAGGCCCGTCCCTCCCCCGGCCCCCTCCCCCCGCTCCCCTTGCCCGGGGGCTGGCCACCCTTGCCCCCTCCGCTTCGCCCTCCTTGCTGTGCCTCCGTTCAGTCTATCTATATTTGGAGCTTCGCCTCTCTCTCTACTCTGCAGCTGCGCTCCGTCTCGCACAATATTCTTCCCCCCCCCCCCCCCCCCCCCCCTCCTTTTCCTCTTCTCTCCTCTCCTCTCTCCTCTCTCTCCTCTCCCCCTCTCCCCCTCTCCCCTTCCTTCCCCTCTCCCATTCTGGACAGACAGCCGTTGTCATTTATCTGCTGTCCTCTTCTATCTGCGTCTATCATTCATAGCAACACTCTCTCACTCTCGACTTCTTCAATTTTCGTCGAGGCGCAGAGGAACTCGTCCTTCTGCTCGTCAGACCTCTTCTGCTTCTGCTCCCTCTGGACTCTCGTCTCGTCTCTTCCTCTCCTCTCCTCTCCTCTCTCTCCCATCCTCTCCTCTGCTCTGCTCTCTTCTCCGAGCAGCTCTTCCATTCCAATCTGCACGGAAGAAGAACGCCCTCCCTCCTCGAAGGATCAATCACATTCCCACCGACCCAGACAACCAACTGCCTTCTTCATTCAGCTCGCATTTTGGGGATTCATTCACTCCCTGATCTGTGTGAAGATCGTAGCGCACGGTGGGAACTGAAATTGTTCTGAAAGGACGGGTTCGGCAAAGGTAGCGCACGCAAACAAAAAAGATAGTCGAGCAGACAGTCTGACGCTCGAGCACGAGCGAGCGAGCGAGCGAGCGAGTGCACGAGAGGAAATTTAGAGACAGACGCGCAGACAGACAGCGAAGCGAAGCGAAGGAAGAAAAACAATAATAGACTGATAGAAGATTTGAGTGCCAATTGGCGCCAGCCTTGTGTATATCCCTGTCGATTTCAATCTTCTCACAAAGTCCCAAGTGACTTCTGCGACATGTTGGCATACTTCCGTGCTATTCAATCGCCCTTTGCCATCTTCAGCTCATGCTTCACTAGCTGCTACCATCTGCACATTGATGTCACCAAGTGTGATGTGCAACGGGTGACGTGCAGCCCGCTCTTGTTCATGGACTGAAGCTCATCCTCGTGCACTCTCACTCTCTCTCTCACTCTCGCTGTTGGAATTGAAAGGTCCCTCGACCTCTCGTTCGAAGTCAGCTCGATCTCCAACAGCAGCAGCAGCAGCAGCAGTAGTAGTAGCAGCAGTAGAGGCAGCGGCAGCGTCCGCCGCCATCCACCATTCTTCGTCAGCTCTGACAGCATTGCAAGGTGGATTCGAGAAGCGTAGCGCCCAAGACACAGAATTGGCTTCCCGGACAAGCTCGCGAATTCGAATCTCTGGCGACTGAGGGAAGCGTCGTCGGGTCGAGCTCGCCGGCCTCAGTTCGCGGCAAGATAACTGGGAATATATATTCTGTCGTCGAGGAGGGGCGAAGGTCGGGCAGATTGAACAGTGCATATGCAAGATGGCTCAATGTCAGGCTCAAACTAAGAAGATTAGCTCTAGCCGATTCGACCTCTACGGGGACATATTCAGCGGTCATCTCTACGGCACCTCCGGGCCAAATGGGAACCTAGATCGTCTGCAGAGGTACAGCTCCGACTTCAGCGAGCGCCGTCTGAGCAATAGAGACATTGCGCCCAATGGTGGCTTTCGAGACGAGGTGCTCAAGGCTAGTCGCAAGGTAGAAGCGCATGCCCCCAATCCCACCCCTGCTGCTGCACCTGCTGACTACGGGCACTCCAATGGGGCGAATTCGGATGCCAATGTCCGCGAGTGCAGGTGCTCGGATCGAGCAGCAGCAGCAGGCCACCATGCCATCCCGGATGCTGCAGCAGCAGCGATGGCAGCGCCAGGCGTCGTCAAGGCAGTGTCGACGAAAAGCCCTTCGTCGGCGGCGCAAGCGCCCAAGGAAATCAACAACTACCCGGCCACTCCGTCGACGCCATCCTCCGGGCGCCACAACAACCTCAAGCACAGTGGCGAAGTGGCAACCCCACCATCGTCGGGGCGCAGCAACAAAAACAGCGGAGAGATGTCGACGCCGCCTCCTCCGCCTCCGGCTTCCTCTGGGCGCAACAAGAACAGCGGAGAACAGACCACGCCTCCACCTTCGGGGGGCCGCCACCACATTCGAGCGCACAGTGGAGAGCAGCCGAGTGATAAGAGCATGAAGCCCGTGGATCCAGGATTCGCTTATGGCGAAATCCTCAAGGGCGTCGGGAACCTGAACTCGTGCGATGATTCCGTCGTGCCCAATGGCAAATCGAGCGGCGACTCGGGGTCCAGCGGCCGAGGCCGAGCCGAGAGCCCCAAGTCGTGCTCCAGCTCCAGCGGCGGGAGTTCCTCCGGTGGCAGCCCGACCGTGGGCAGAATCGTCAATTTCGGCAACATTCTGCCGAGCGGCGGATCGCTCAAGGTCGGGAACTCGTCGCCCGTCTCGCAGCCGAGAAGCAATGGGATGATGGGCCAGAGCCGCAGATCGAACTCCGCCGACTTCCCCTCGGGCAACTTGAAGAAATTGCACGCGGCCAACAGCAGCAGCAGCAATGGTGGCAATGGGGTGTACACAGGTGGGCTCAATGCCAAGGGCTCGATGTCGAATACCACGAGCCCGACCGGAAGCGTGGGCACTGTGAATCCGTCGCAGCCATTGCCCAGCAGCAGCAGCAACAACGACAGCAGCGCGAATGGCAAAGCGGAGCTCATCAAGAATGCCATCGCTAGCATGGATGCCGAGGAGCTCAAGAACACGGGCAACGAGCAGTACAAGAAGGGCCATTTCTCCGAAGCGCTCTCGCTCTATGACAAAGCCATCGCCCTCGCGCCCGAGAAAGCGCCCTACCGCAGCAACAGGGCTGCCGCCCTCACGGGCCTCGGCCGCCTCCCCGAAGCTCTGCACGAGTGCCTCCATGCCATCCGCCTCGATTCCGCTTACACCCGCGCCCACCATCGCCTCGCCTGCCTCTACCTCAGGTTCGTTCTCCTTCTCTTTCTATTTTCTCGTATGGCGTCATCGTTCTGCATGCTGCTTCGCTCTCGTGCCCTCCCCTCCCTCCCTCTATCGCAGGATTAGGATTCTCTCGTGCGCCTTTCGTTGGCTTCTCTTCTTTCTGTGGTGGTGTGGCTGATGGATCTTGCTCGGTCCAGTTCGGTGTCGAGTGCTCTTCGTGGAGCTCGAGCTCGTGCTCGTGTTTGTGTTTGCGTGCGTTCTGCGTCTGAGTCTTGCGTCTTGTCGGGTGGTGGTTCGGGTTGGCGCTGTCGACAGTTGCCGTGGCCTGGCTCGAAGTCGGGCGTCGATCAAATCTTGCGTGCGTGGGCAATGTGCCGTCAATTTTGATTACGAGCGCGGGCAGGGGTCGGAGGTCGTACATGCGATACTGATTCGTGGACCGCAGAAGTTAATTAATGTCAGGAATTACACATTCTGCTTAGAATCTAAGCCGAGCTCGCAGCTGAATCGTTTGCGTTGATTTCATTCTCGCGCTCCCTCCCTCCCTCGAGTCAACGAACGAGCACTGCGATCACGAATGCCTGCAGCAGCAGCAACTGTGCCGGAGGAAGATTGGAGGCGAAGGGATGCGGGGATGCGATTGCGGCTCGATGATCGAGTGAGGTCGATACAGAAGTGGATAGATTCGGGTCAGTGAGTCAGTCGTTCGGATCACAACATGAACTGAGCGTGTGTCAATGTCAATGTCGTGGGCCAGGCTCGGGCAGATCGACAGCGCGAGGCGATATTTCAAGACGGCGGGACCGCAAGCGGATTGGGAGGACACTCAGCGCATGATGGTGATCGAGAAGCACCTGCTGCGGTGCATTCAGGCGCGCAAGAACCACGACTGGAACGTCCTGGTGCGCGAGACCGACGCCGCCATCATCGCCGGCGCTGACAGTGCTCCGCAGGTGATTTCCCTCACAATTTCCCTCCCCTTTCGATCAATCGAGGCTCTGATCCTTCTTTCCTCCATTATTCGTCCCATGCAAGCGCTAATCCCGACCTCGAATTGCCCCCCTCGACCTCGCAGATTCTCGCGTACAAGGCCGAGGCATTGTTGAAGCTCCACCGACCCGATGAGGCCGACGAGGTGTTCGCAAACGTGCGCAAGGTCGAGGAAGTTCTGAAGCGCCAGTCGTTCGCCGCCATCAACATCGTCGTTCTGATTATTCAAGCGCAGATGGACATGGCCATGGGCAGGTGCGTATGCGCAGTCAGTCAAAACTGCACTTTTGCACACTCCGCTGTGTCTGTCTGTCTGTCTGCTGCAGGGGCAGGGTCCGCTTGTGGATATGGCACCATTCGAAAAGTGCAGTCTTCGGAAAGTCTGTTTCGAATTGAGAATGAAGCAATCCGTCGTCATGATTTGTCTTTTCCTGAGAAAAAGCATGCACATGCCCAAGATGGCAACATCTTTTGCGCTGGATGCGATTTGCAAGCTTTTGCTGATTCTCGTACCTTGCGAAATTAGGTACAGCTGCTGCGAGTTTAGGCAGAACTCACGTGTGCTTAATTTATGAGTTTTATAATTTCTAAATCCGGACCTTGGCTGGCCTCGTGCTCAGGTTCGAAGCGGCGGTGCTGGCAGCAGAAAGAGCATCGCATTATGCTCCGAATGATTTCGAGGTGGCTGCTGTGAAGAAGAGGGCCCGAGCTGTGGCAGCTGCGAGAAAGCTGGGCAATGACCTTTTCAAAGCCGGGAGGTTCTCGGAGGCCACCACGGCCTATGGCGAAGGCCTCGAGGCCGATGTCGAGAACGCTGTGCTGCTCTGTAACCGAGCAGCATGCCGTGCCAAGCTCGGACAGTGGGAGAAGGCCGTCGAGGACTGCAACGCAGCCTTGGACGTGCATCCCACGTACATCAAAGCGCTCTTGAGACGCGCTCAGTGTTTCTTCAATGTGAGTTTTCTCGATTGTGTTGTGGATGGAGGTGATTGAGATTGAGGAGCCTCGAATTCTGTGAATGAATGAAAGAATGATCGATCGATTGATTGATTGCTCGTCGTGACGGGGGATTGAGGCAGAATTCGGTTCGATCCGTTTGCTTGCTGGCTTGCTGCTCACATGCTGCTGGTGGTTGTTTTCCTGCAGCTGGAACGTTTGGACGATGCCTTCAGAGACTACGAGGTGCTGAGGAGGGAGATGCCTGGCGATGTCGAGGTCAGGCGGGGTCTTTTCGATGTCCAAGTTGCCCTGAAGAAGTCCAAAGGCGAAGATGTGTTCAAGATGAGGTTCGGAGGAGACGTCGAGAATGTGACTAGCAACGAGCAATTCCAGGAAGCGATCACCTCCCCAGGTTTGTGCCTCATCGGAATTCGCCAATCTCTTCGATCTCGATGATGCTCTCTGTCACAATCTCCATTCACTCGCGCGCAAGAAGTGAATTCCCGAGGATTAACCGAACGGGACTTGTCTGTCTCTTCGTGTGTGTGGTGCACAGGTGTGTCAATTGTCGAATTCAGCACAAGATGGAGCCAGCGGTGCAAGAACATCGCTCCCTGCGTCGATAATTTGTGCAAACGTTATCTTTCGCTCAATTTTCTGAAGGTAAGTCTCTGAATTTTCAATGTACCGAATTATGTATGGGAATTGTGCAGATCCTTGTGCCTTCGGCGGAGATCTAATTTGATAGCCGGATGAATGACTGACGAGAGGGGCGAATGGTTGGATGAATTGAATTGTGGCAGGTGGATGTGGACGATCTTCCCTACTTGGCAAAGTTGGAGAACGTCAACTTCGTGCCGACATTCAAAGTTTATAAAAATGGCTCGAAAGTTCTGGAGCTGTGTGGACCGAACGAGCAAGCCCTGGAACGGGCCGTGATTCACTACAGCCTGTAGAGATTGTTTTACATTCCATTCTTCATGTAGGGTTTTCATATTAGAGAATAAGCGAGCCTTATGCTTGCTCAACCTTGTAGGTAGACTATAAATCTATTAAGAAGTCTGGGGACTTTTTGTAGAGTCAAACGCTGGTCAATGACTCCTATGTTATAGGATTCGTAGATGATTCTTACCTCTTTATGTAGAGGGGGTGATGTAGACTAGAATAGGCTAGATCGAAGATTCAGTAGAAGGCAGAAGAGGATCCTCGAATTGTAAAATGTGCAGGTAGTCATGACACCCTTCTGAGAGCCGGTCACAAACCAGGCCATACTTCTCGCCAGCTCTCTTGAAAAAAGTAGGTACTCAAATGTAGGGAATTTGACAGCCAGATCTCTTGTATACACCATGGATGCTCGCTGTATGTCTGTCTGTGGCAACTTCTGCAAAGATGTTGATGTTTCTTTGCAGTCAGTGTGCAGTAGTAGCTCCGCCCACTTCCAGGAACAAAGTACATAGCTAGACTCTCATGTCTTAGATTAGAAGTTGAAAAGAAACACCTCTCAAAGAGAGAGTGTCGCAATGCTTGACCTGCATTCCGGAAGCATTTTTCGCTGCAAATTCTTACTTATCCCGATCATCCGCACCGTCACTTCACGTCACGTCATATGCCAGTCCATTGATTCCGCTCGCTTGTCATCTGTATAGCTCATTCATTCATTCACTCATTCATTCATTACCCCCATGTAGCTCTGCTCTCATCTCATCTCTTCATCTCTTTCGTCATGAGTCGTGCCTTGATTTTCTGCTTTTCGCCATCGCTGTAACTCCTTCTCCAGCACGTAACCTTCAATTCTACTCTCTCTGCCACTGACAAACCGGACCATCACCATTCCCCACACGAAAGTTTCACATCGCCATCCTACCGTGGGCCACCACCACCACCCTTCCGAGCCGGAGACGATCACCACTAGACGCGATTCGGAGCGTCAATCATGAGCCAAACTATTGCCATCGAGCAGAATTTATCGCCTAGTGCCATCCCACGTGTATGTGATCGTCTCTCACGACACTCTACCAAGTCCAACCAAACTCCACATTGCGCCCTCGATGAATTCACTGCACACAGTCTGGTTCCGATCGGGCTGTCCTTCGATCCTCTGAATGCAATTTCTTCGACACCCAACTGAAAATTCGCTCATCTACCACGCTGAATTCGGGCCGGAAGTCATAGCACTAGCTCCGAGATGTCAAACATCCTCGATGCGTGGGGATCCTATGAAGCCAGCGAGCAGAACAGATAAACTCTCGGCCTGTCCACCCTCGACGACATACACGCAGACATAGATTCTTAAAGCAGGCAAGCAAGAGTTATAGTGATGGGAATTCAGCTTCTCCATATCCAGGGAGCCATGGGGCCAGAGAGTGTGGCCAGAGAGATTGGCAGGAGGAGGAGGAGGAGGAGGAGGAGGAGCCTCGATGGCGTATCTGCAGGGGAATGAGAAATGACGAAGATGGTACACGAGTCATGAGCGCGACTCGATGGTACCAGCTGCAAACCACAGTCCGCGCGAGAGCGCCATAAAGACAGTCCATGTGGTTACCTCCTGGGGCGAGATTGGGATTTGTACCCGTGTCGAGGCCCCGCGCGGACCGGACCAGAGCTCCGGGGCCCGGGGCTCGTCAATCATAGGGTAACTTTTCTTGCAAATCCGAGCAAAGCGTCAAAGAGCGAGTGAATGGTCGTTGAATATTAAACCGGGCCCTTCCGTCGCGCACCAGAGCACACTCTTTCGTCTGACACCCATTCAAGGCCCGCCATGATGAGCCAAATTTGACTCTCCGGATGGGCGTGACCATCATCCTGCAGCCTCCGCTGTTGTTGTTGTTGTTGTGCTCGGCCTTCCTATTCCTCGATTCGGTATCTTTGCTAGCCCCCGCGATTTGTAGCCCTGCCCTGCTTAGAGCCTCTCTCTCTCTCTCTCCCTCTCTCTCTCTCTCATCAATACCGGCGACCTTGCATTAGTATCTTCCGCCCCTTTGCCGATCCGTGTACATCTCGTGACAGCTGCCCGCCACACTTTCTGCAGTAACCAACTTCATGACCCCCTCCCACCCGGTCGTAACTCTCCCCCTTCCCCCCCCCTACCCCCTACCCCCCAATCTCTGCAGTTCCTCCGTATGCGAGCTTGTCAAACCATGTACTGTACTCCCATCCCATCCCATCGCATCCATGCCATGCCATGCCATGCCTTGGTATAGGATCACGCTCCCCTCACACGCCACCCGGGGGGTGGGGTTGGGGTTGGGGGTAGGGGAGACATGGGGACAAGGGCGGAGGGGGTAACGAAGGGGGAGGGGGTTGGGGTTGGGGTTGCGGGGGGGAAGGGGGAGGGTTACGACTTTCTTTCTGCTGGCGACGATTAGCGAGGGCAGAAACAGAGACTCGGACGGGGAGAGAGAGAGAGAGAGAGAGGAGGCCACTCTAATGACTCGTACATGGATCCTTTAATGGGGATCACCACGTGGTAAGCTCGGCTCGAATAATCGTAATACGCGTAGAAACTTATGATGCTTCAGACTCCTAACAGTGTGTCTTCGCGTCGTCTGACTCGGTCGGAGTTTAATCTGCCGAAGGGAGCGATTCATGAGCCTTCGCGTGAGTAGGTCTCGCGCTATAAATCGAGATCAGGCGTTCTAAACCGCACGCTTTGAGTTAAAGGTGTTAATGGGGTTCTTCGGATCGAGTGAGTGGCTGGCGGGGGACACTCGGGCTCGCCTCGAATCCGGGGTCCTCAGATCTGGACACACACACATCTGGGCATGAAATGGTTGCTGTGGCCTGTACGACCATCATCTCTTCTCTCAGCTCGTATGGAGCCGCGGTTCTAACAGTCCGAGGATGCTTGGAGATGTGGATTAGCGTGCGCAAATCCGCTCTGCTGCCATAAACATGGCGGGCAGCAGATGTCCACTGCTGGCCCATGTGGTCGCCATCGCCAGCAAACTCTCGAGCAAGTTGCTCTGCGCTGCGCAACGGGACTCCTGAATCTACGTCTCACACTCGTGTCACCATGCGCACTTTCAAGCTAACAACTTCCAAATCTCTCGACACGTCTACACTCGTGTAACCTTGTGCACTTTCCACTTTAACTAGCTTCGATACACCTCAGGGATGCAGGTTTGCAGGTGTCCATAAGTTCGTTCGTATAACTACTTGTACAAGCAGACCAGATCAGCTGCTGCTGCTCTACAGGGGCAACACCACTAACAACCTCGATCGGCACCGGTGGTCTTCAATGAGAACTTACGAGCTGGGGCTTGTAAAATTTGAAGGTGGGCATTTGGGAATGTAAAACGACCAACATCGTTGAAGAATTGGGCCCTTTTCAGTACCTTCCAGAGAATATTAGTCAACAACTTGTAAGATGTGGGGAATATTGTTTACTGGACTCATAACACCCTTCGCTTGCACTTGGCTCGGGCATCTTTTGGTAAGCGCATAACTGCGCACGAGATATTATGGAACCAGCTGAGGGCCACAACTTCCTGGAAAGAAAAATCCCTCGGAACTCTCCATCACGTGCTGCTACAACTTCTGCTCGCAGGATTCGTGGGCGACTTGAACACGCTGTGACCATGCCCATTCACTCACTCGCCCTACCGTGTTTCCGATGTGCAGCAGCAGCACCACCACGTGCTGTTTTGAGAACCTCCAGTTCCAGATGCTCGTCACTACCACTATCACTATCACTGCCTTCTTCACTGCTCCACGGTGTAAGTATTCTCCACATACGAAATTCATTATCGCGAAACTCTATCCACATAACTGTGAGACTGATCTGATCTGCTTCTTCGTGTGACTCATGCTCTGATCGACGATGGCGCTACCGTTTAGTATTGTATGATTCTTGCTTAGCGCGGTACACCACGTGCTTACTGCACAACTACAATCAGCTGCACTGAAACATGTAGGCTCGTCGTCCTGTGATACACTCGAAAGTACAATTATTTATACCGCTAACATGCCTGCCTGCGCTGTGGCTCGAACCGAATGGCGACAGTACGATCAGGAATCAGGGCCTGCATGGGATACCTCATCCACCGAGCAGTGGATGACTCACCGCAGTGGATCGGAAAGGTGCAGCGAGTAAACGTCGTAGTAATGCGCGCAAAACAATACAGTAAAGAGCGAACAGTGAATCTCGTACTTCCTAGGCAATCAATGGCAAAGTGTACAGTCGGCATGGCAGTAATGTGTCTCACCGAGAGCGTCCACCATGTCAGGCCTCCTCCTGAGTTCGCAGCCTCAGTTCATGCCCTGACATGGTGAGCGAGCTCGAGGGTGTCGCCTTCACAAGAAGGAAACTGTAAAGAGCACGAAGGTCTATCTTTAGCCATGTCCAGCACACCTTGTGCTCTACAAACGTCCAACATGGTGTCGCCAGTTCAACATACCTCTCCATCCATCCTTCCTTCCTTCCTTCGTGTACCACCACCACCAGCACCAGCTGCTGCTGCTGCAGGCACAATCTGAGAAGTCATCATCGTATTAAATACGATGCTGCTGCATTTGGAGAAAGCTTTCTCATGTGCCCTGCAATATCTCCTCTCTCTGAGACTCTCTGAGAATGTAACGATGCGTGCCGAGCCGAGCCACAGTGGCGTCTCTCTCTCTCTCTCTCTCTCCCTCTCTCTCTCTCCCTCACATGGTCCGAGACAAGTGCTCGTCCTTGTGAGCTATGCGGAATCTAAGACCTGGTGTACACTGCGTACCTGACATTGTAGAAGTGCCTCCATTCACGTTCTTCAAGGCCAGTGCTCCTTCATGTGATATCATCAGATACGTATTGGACCAACTGTACCTCGTCGCTGAACGCCTTCTTATATTAGCCTCTGTTTCGACGATACAGTACATCGTTTCATAGCTCCCTCCCTCCCTCCCTCGCTTCAAATGCTTTGGGTGGGAGGGAGGGAGGGAGCAGCGACTTCACACACTTGAGATGAGCAGGAATCTTGGTCTCGGTGGTCATTCACTCACTCGTGTCACCCAAGCACTAACGCGAGCTTGACGCTAACGTGCACCTCTTAACCACCTGCGAGCCTCCTCGACCTTCTCGATGTGCAAATGTGCAATTGATGAAGGGCTTGACTCTTCGCTCATTCTAAGTACACGCTCATCATGTTTGGATTCGTGGACGACGACGACGACGATCGATGTGGCCCAGCGCTCATTCATTCATTCATTCATTCATGTGTCGTGGATTTCGGACAGCTTTGCCGCTGACTCGCGCATCCTCGGGTACTATAGGAGAGAGAGAGAGAGAGAGAGAGAGCTATACGTCTTGTTTACATCTTGTCACTTGAATTCAACAGAATCACGGAGCTCAAGGATCACTCATTCAAAGATCATTGCTTCCTGCGACTTTGCAACGTCAAGAGACAAACTGTGGTTTATTTCTAGTCTTGCTCTAAGCTCTAAAAGTTCTAAAAGCTCTAAACCAGGTCATAACTTCTTTCAGTGATTCTACGTAATTATTCGGCATACCAAAATTCTTCGCTCTCAACAAATTGCGCAGGAGTCTCAAAAATCACTCCGCTCATAAATTTGTGTCTTGATTATGTCAAACCATTAGTTTTTTAATATTTCTCACTGAATTAATTGCTCTTGACTACTCAACAGATTCGCTCTTTGAGAGTCCTCGAGGTCCTATGACCAATTCAGTAAAACCTCTGAGATCCATCATGGTGGGCACAATCGAAAAAAGACTAGAAACAATCATCAATCAATGAATCCATGTTGCACCAAGTCGGTTAGCTGTATTTAATTTTATAGAACCCAAATCTTCTTGTACAATCCTCTACCAGATATGTCTCCCAGTATCCCAACGGAGTATCGATTACGAATTAAAAAGAAAAACCTGTGCATGAATGAATGAATGAATTATACGAAACGAGTATTAAAGTTTTCGATCGAAGTAAAGAGATCGTCCTCGTTATACACTATCTGGATTCGTATACTCCATATCTACTCCTCTCAATTCATAAACAGTGAGCCAAATGGCTAGCACAGGAGCTTTCGTCCACTTGTTCCAGAAAACAGTGTCGACCCGTACACGATAACCGTATGTTTCATTCTCCAAGACGTATTTGTACCCTCGTACGAACAGATTGGGATTCTAGAATTTGAGGAAGATGTTCACGGGAGTTGTTGTTGTGTACAAACGTACTCGGCGACAGTGGCAAAAGAACTCTACAAATCTCAAGGTTCTTTGTTTCTTGCTGCAGAAATAAAGCCTAGACTCGTGAGAGAGAGAGAGAGAGAGAGGTTACAGTAAGGTTCCTTGGAGATGAGCAACTCAGCACGTCATTAGCTGGGAGGGGATATGCATCTGATGCCATCGCCCGCATTGCACTCGAGACAGACCACACAGTGTCGACTAACAACCCTTGGGGGGACATTTGTTCCTACATGTCCTGAAATTGCAGGTCCTGGGGATTTTGCAATCCAGGAGTAGGTGGTGCACTCATGCCTGGTCACCACACCTCCAACCAAGTTCTTCAATATAGTTTATACTTTTGCACATGCAGTGATTTGGACTTCTCTGCCATGTACATGTGTACTGCACGACCTTGCTTGCTTCTTCCCAAACACCTCTTCCACACTCTTGACCCAGATTGGGCACGGCAGACAGAGTTTCGACATCTCGAGCAGCTGCATAGGTGTAATGCGAGAGTTACGTTGTGGTGGTGGCAATACGCCGCAGCTGTGAGTGAGTGAGTGAGTGAGTAAGTGTGAGGGATTTGTACGCCATAACCCAGCCCCCGATCTGCCTTCTGTTTCTGTTTCTGTTTCGGCAGACCGATCGAGACGTCGGTGGTGACTCGAGAGGTACCTACGTCTAGCATCACTCACACAACAGTCAAGGCCAAACTCATCCATGTGACACTGCAGTGACTTCAGTGTCACATACGAACTGCGTGTGACCATATCCTCGTGCACGACTCTTGATTCTGATGCACGCACGCAACATGGACCATGGACGTGATCGACTGCACTGCACTGCGTGCGAAAAGAGAAGAGAAGAGAAGAGAATGGCGAAGAGCTTTCTCTTCACGGTTCCAGAAGCAGCAGCAGCAGCAGCAGCAAGATCTAAGGGCAAGGTTTGCAGACTGCGCAGAGAAGATGTCAGAGGCTCACTGTTGTGCCCGTTCTCTCGCAAGAACGAAGAGGGAGGGAGGGAGGGAAGCCATGGCGCCCTACGGTGTACCAGAGTACCAGCAGCAGCGCACAGTGGCACATCCTAACAACCTTCCGGATACTGGCACTACATGATGAAAAAATCTGCCGCCTTGGGAAAATTGCGAGAATGATTAGACTGCTGCTGTACACTCGTACCAGGCTACGCCACTGTGTCTACACTAACAACCTTCAGACCAGGACTGCCCTTCTGCTTGTGACAAGTCCCGGTCTCGTCGACGAGACTCGAGCAGCTCGCTCGGTACACTCGGTGTATGAGAGTCCCGGTCATGTACCATGTACCGGATTCCAGTGAATCACCACTCTTCCCAGATTTTACCGAGCTTACAAGTCTTCTTCTTCCATGACATGCCTGGTCGTGGGGTTGGATATAATCACTCGATCGTATCGTACGATCGTCTTCTCAGAAATGTGTGAAGTGTAGACATTGACATCGGTACCATGGCTCAAGAGAAAGTCCACCGAGTTCACCGACCTATTCACTCTTCATTACGATCTTGGATCAACAGCAGGTATACTTGTGTCTAACAGATATGACTCCATAGCTAGACTGACAGTCCACCTTCCGGCGGATTGTGGAGTGGCTCCACATCACCATGCCAACACTTGGCAGATCTACTCCTCGCTCGCTCCAGGGCTCAGTCAAATGAGGCAAACGGCATTGTGTCTGTCCAGCAGGTCAATGTTTGCAACGACAAGCACCAGCAGCAGCAGCAGCAGCAGCTATCTAGTCGGCTATCTACTTATCTATGAATTTAGCGATGACCGACCTTCATTCTGGATTCTGCAGGAGTAGGAGGAGAATGTAATCCTTCAAAATATCCTGGTTGTAAGAGTTCGGTCAATATAATCCAAATTACGGTTACATAGTACTCTCGTGATTTCTCGATAAAGTAGAGAGAGTGACTGACAGTAGGCAGAGCAGGAAATCAAACACTGGCTGGGTTACATTGCGCTGGTATCTTTCTGAACGCCCTCTTTCGTCTCCATGGGATTCGCCTACTTTCAAACGCCGAGGCCCGCCCGCCCGCCAGTCAGAGCATGACGATGGCACCAGCCCAGCTGGCCAGCCATGGATCCTGAGCTTCCAATAAAATATCGGCAGAAAGGGCTTTCGCAGTTTCGCCATTTCTGATTGCCTCGCTGACAGGCCACGGCTTCAGCTGGGCCCGAGTCCATCCATCCACAAGTCAGGAGCGAGAAGTCCAAATGTCGTCCCCAGGAACGTGGACATTTCAGGGAATCCGCTTTATGCCGAGCTCGATTCTCTGGTCTGTACCTGTACCTGTCCCGCCTGCATCGCGCCATCGACTATTTTACCCGCAAAAAGCTCCAACATAATCGCCAGGTCCAGGTCTGCCAACTCTAGCTGTCTTAAGAATAACTCCTCTCTCCAGGTGCCACCGCATGCCTTGCTGCTCAAGCTCTGGCTTCCGCTTCCGAGCGCTTCCCCCTCAATTTCTCGGCCTCCCTCCCATGGCAACACATATCCACCCGTGTCCAGGGCCAAAATTATTCTCCCCCTTAACTGCGATTTATTTACTGCTGCTGAGGCAGATCAGAGCTTGTCACTGCGAGACAAAAACGCGCGTGTCTCGAACGCAATTTATGAGTGTGTCGATGGACAGCAGTCCAGACAGACACAGATTTACAGTGTAAGACAATCCCTCCGTGTCACAAGCCAGATTTAATGCCTTTTGGGCAGAGACTAATTGGACGAAAACGTGACCATACTATAAGTGTAGAGGAGGAGAGTCCTGCTGTGATCACCACTTTCCAAAAGATGGAAAAGGTCAGGCCAAAGGTCTCCTGCTTCCTTCTTCGTCTCGTCACGCCAAAAGCTCGTGAGAGTGAGACTGGGGGCAAGCCATTAATCATTCGCCGAGGGACCAGAACGTAGCAGCCTGAGCATGAGCATGAGCATGGAAGGAATGTTTCCCGGCTAAGTCTGAGTCTGAGAATGGAGTGGTGGAGAATCGTATTGCAGCAGAGCATTGTCATTGTCAATTGAGAGAGAGATGGCTAGAATCCCTGGGTTGGTGAAGAGGATGGATACGACTGGATTATCCACAATCAGAACCTTCCTTTGACATCATGAACTCCCTCACCTACATAAGGACAATCATACAGCGGACGTGGAAGATGTGAGCCAATAGTGTCGCCCCCTTCCATCCAGGTTTGGACGTCGTGTCCACTTGTAGGAGGGAGTCTGAGAGCACCGTAGTTGACTCCGCCATACCAGACCAGAGTGACATGTCCGCACTCTGATCTGAACTCTGAATCGCACCCACCTCGTGATTATGAGTCCTCTCTCGGGAGGAATCCAGCGGGAGACTGCGGATCAGAACGGCGATGAGATACATACCGTATGCTCGAGAGTGGTCAGGTTCATACGCAGTAGCGTGGTTGTCATCGTCGAGCCTAAAGGGCACGAACTTAATGGAGACCTTTATGGGCCTCACGACGATCCTTAAACCAGGCCTCGAGAACTGCATCATGGACGTGACATAAGACAAGAACTCGGCACGATGGATCAAGGGGAAGATCGATGTGCACTGGAGAAAGTAGGGGCTGGCTGCCAAAAGTGCAGTCGATCTTAAATCCTTAACCACAAGCTTTACAAATCATACACTTTTCTCTGAATATCATTGATCGCCGACGAAAGAATCCGTTCTCGCGGACGAGAATTATTTTCCGCTGCAACGGGACCGCTTTATCGTGCACCGGATCCAAAGGACTTTCTCCGAATCCAGATTTCATCAATCATGAGTGAGAGAGAGAGAAAATGACTTTGAGATTACTTGAGACTTGCAAAAGCTTACACAGGAGGAAGAGGAGGAGGAGGAGGAGGAAGAGACATTTGTGTGTGACCATGGTTTTGACTTTAGTGGGGACTTGGTTTCTACCCTTGCAGCAGAGCAGAAGCAGCATCATCTGCCATCATGGGCCTCTTGCCATGTCTCTAAGGACATTCTTTTTTTCTCTTTTCTCCTCCATGAAGATTTTGATCTGCCCTGACTTGCTTGCACACCCTGCTTTACTTTTGCTGTCAGACAAATCCGATATTATCGAGTGCACACACGACCCTTCATATCTCGCTCAAGTACAGTCTTTTTCTGGCAAGCAAATTTATCACCCAAATAATATCCTCCCTGATTTTAAAATCCCTTCCATGGACTTGTGGTCTGGGCCTAGCGCTCAACAGTGGCCGACTCCTGCAGGTAGATGTAGTCCAAATCTCCCTCGCTCCTCGCCAACTGTAGCCTCGTTGAGTGTATTTCCTCCTGAGCCCTCCTTCTTTTCAGGTCATTATGCTTGCACAACGGTCCTTTCCCTTCTTTTGGGCCTCAGAGTGTACATGTACTGTACCTCCTCATAGGCCCCCCAAGTAGATAGATAGATGCATTCAGCCTCTTCTTCCTCTTCCTCCCCTCCAGACGAAGATTCATTCATGTCCAGCCTCAGATTCATCTGATTCCAATGATGTGATTTCTTCCTCCCGTGTTTTCTGTACTCGCCGTTCATTACAGAATATAGTATGCCTAAATGTGGATAAGACGAGGGCCGTACCCGGAGATCTGATACTCCTCATGTATTAGTATTGTATTGTATTGTATATTGTATTGTATGTCTCGAGTCCATTCTTTCCGTTGGAATTCTCTTTCCATGTGCTCTGTCATGCGCTGTGGCTGGCGTTCGAGCTCTTTCTTTCATCAGATCCATCAGTTCGCGTGTCGGGTGGACCTCATTGCATCCACTTCTTTTCCTCGGCAAATGCATCGCCCAAAGGATCGCAACTCTTGCTTCCTTTCCTCTCGACTCGACTGCCATGTTTCGCATCATTGCCGTCGTGCTTCGAACAAAAGTTGCCATATCATGTCGTTCCTGCAGCGAACGAACTCCAGCCAGCGGCAGATAGATAGATAGATTTCATTACTCACATAATTTATTATTTTCCTCGTTCGCAATCTAAGGCTCGCAGCTCTTTTGCAGAAGGATAGATCTATAATGCATAGAAATCCCCGCTATCTCATTGTCAATACTTCGATAAGTTGATTTTACCTCCATGAACTCGTCCTAATTACTTCATGATAATGACCACGCAGCTCCTACCTTTCACACGCGATCTAGAACTGCTGTGCTGTGATAATAAACCATACTCCCGCCGAGGTTGTCTATCTATTTATTACTAGAGGTTAAACATGTTGTTTTAGTTCTTAGAAAGTGGATCAAGTATGATTAGGCTACATATATCACTACCACAAATGAAATATATGTTAAACAAACATCTAAAGTATATGAGTCATCTAAGTGAAATAATTACCAAACATCGTAATACTTTTCTCACTGTGTAGGAATACTCAGAGTTATTTGTAGGAATCATGTTGACTACGTGATTAATCCGTTGTAGTCACAAAAATCCGCTAAAAACATTATACTCAATCTCCTTAATAAAGTTGGCTCGAGTTCTATATAACTCCAATTTCTTCATTCTTTTTACATGAATCCATACTTGAACATCTTAGATAGAGATGGTTCACTCGCCTTTTCTGTAGAAAAATGCATAATCAGCCACACAGTATTCTCTATCACTTGTGAGATCTACAATCATCTTGTTATTTGTCTATCCCGTGGTTTTTTTAGAAATAGTTGATATGATATAATCTTCAAGGCTTTTTAATGATGACAACATTATGAATCAATATGAATGAAATGTTATTGTGAGATAATAGAGATGTATAGTTACATCAACTAAATAAAAGCATGACGGTGATAAATCTCAAAGATATATTATCTTACATCTTGTTATTGATAAAGTTTTATAAGCATTGAAAGATAAAACTCTTATACATCAAGACTAAAGAGTAAATAATTTTGAAATGAAAATGAAAAATGAAATGAAAAAAATGATGCAAAAATTATGATAAAAAACTACCAGATTTTTTTGTCAATTTAAATTATTTTTTCTATGAACATTTTTACAATGATCATTTTTGAAAAAAATGATTTTGTTAAAACAAATTTTGACTATTAAGAAATAATTGATTTTTAATTATTCAATGCATTTCAATTTCCAATTCTGAAATTTCATTTTTTCCCAATTTCATAATTTTGAAATCAATTTATTAACTTAAAATGTTTTTTTAACTACTTTGAGATTTTAGAATTACTTTTGATTAATCTTGCAGCTTTCAACATATGAGGTCATAAAAACATTGTTTTTATTTCATCTAAAAGGTAATCATGTACAGTGAAATATTAGCTCTTTGGTAGAGAAAAGAAGCCCAACAAAATCAACATCATGCAGAGATCTCTGTGTATGCAGATGCAAATAATATCATAATACTAGCACGTGATGGCATTAGTTTACAAAAACCTCTCAACACTTTGAAAAGCTTTTGTATCCAAAATAAAATGGAGTTTAATATGAATAAGTCTAAGGTCAATATAGTAGAAACTAGATCCAGTTTCTTGTACTTTTACAAAAATCTACAATGAGAACAAAAGAAGAGTTAAAAATATCTAGTCATTGATTTTTCTAATGAATATAGTTTGGCACTTTGCCAACAAAAGAGAATAGAATTTCGTGACAAAGCTATATATTCATAGTTAACCCGATGTAGAAGAGCTCATCTTGTATCTAAGGAAAATTTTTTTTAAAGTATTTATTGACTTAATGTTGCCGTTTGGTCTTATAAAGTATATAAGTTTAGAACGATAGTTATAAAAAATCTTGTTGAAAGCACGTGAAGAGTATGCAAAAGATCTTTTTACAAGAAGAAATGAGTGTAAGAAATCAAGCTCCATATGGCGTTTTTTTTGTTGAAACATGTTGTATTTATTTAGAGACTAAAGCTCTCTATTTGACCATCATTTACATGGCAATGATCATATCTTTTGATGTTTTGCGCCTCCATCATCAAACTTTGCAAGCCATATGTTCCATAGGGTGGTTAGCAAATGTGATGACTTGGTCTTTAAAGTGAAATGTGGCAGAACATAGATCACACTCCACGAACATCTACATAAATAATTTTTCAACATTATTGGAGCAACTCGTGCATCGAAATGAAGTTTTATCAACTTCATGATAATCTTATGCTTGTGTATTGTGAACAAACAAAATTTACTTGCAAAGATCTTTATGTTTTTAATTCATATTATTGCACAAAATAGAATTATGTCTCATAAGTTAGGAATTGAAAAATTACGTGTTACATTAGGATGTAAAGAGAAGTTCACTCGAAAATGAAACATAAATTCTGAAGGTGAGATACTTCAGTGATTCTACTCTCCCTTATATAGATACTTCAAATACATACACGAAGATAAGGTTTTTTTTCTACCATCCAATCTCTACCTAATGGAGTGGTGACATGGCGTATAAACTTGATGAGCACACAAATTGTTGACGTGTCGTTCTCAACTAACATACTCAATCTTTACCTAACAATCATATGGATTGATGACGTGTTGTTCCTAACTAGCACACCAATTGCTGGTGTGACACCAAAAATATTCCACTATCATCTATCCTATTCAATCTTGAGTAAACTTCACTTTAGTTCTAACTAACTAAAAATGATTACAGTACAATGATATAAAATTTATAGAATTTAACAAATTTCTAAATTATGTGACATACAAATTATTGAGGATGAAAAACATGAGTTTGTCACATGTCAAGGGTATGAAGAGATTATTCTAGCTCATAAAATAGATTTATAAAATTTGTATCTTTTATTATAGTTAATGTTTTATGATTCAAATTGTTATAATAGTTACGGCATTATATATACTTCAAGTTTTCGAGTCATTTGGTAGTTATAGATTATTAGAATCTTTTTCTAGTTTAATGAATGAATGACTTGTAATTTATTTTCCAACCTCTTGACTATTTGCGTACCACGAGCTTAATCTTTATATCACTAACAATTTACCATTAATATAAAAATGAGTTTTTTTTTATTCCTGAAACTTATCAATCACTTATTTCATGCTTTCACTTTTATTTTCAAGATATGAGAGCTTACAATTAAGCTAAATTTTTAGAAAAATATACAATATAAGCAATATTCAAATATTTAGATACATTAAATATGCATGTTGTAAATTGTTTGATAAAAATATAAAATATTGTACACAATAATGTGTCATTATTTTTCATATAAGTATCAATATAATAGAATCAACATAATTTATGAATTATATAATTTGATTAATTCAGAATTATAAATAAATTATGTTAA